CCATATTTTCATTCCAACCCATCAAGCCTGTTCAATACGCATGTCTGATATTTGGGCGACATCTACCGGGGCTTTCAGAGGTCCATCGACACAGCGGGAGATGATGAATCGAGGTCTATTAAAGCTTTCTGGGAAAGGTTAACTCTACAATGTCTAATCTTAGCGATTTTTTTCCGAGACAAAATCATGAAAAATACCTTCATGTGGAAATATTGAGTTATATGTCGCTGAATCAGGTTTTAGGTTTATGTCATTTTATTTCATCTTAATCAATAATTATTTTTTATTCAACATTTCTTTCAATCTTTGGAACTTTCGAGGACACAGAGACATGAATTATCGTCAGTTTTTCCAACTTGAATATTGTCTTTTACCGCAATTCTTCATTTCAGCGCGGGTTTCTTTGATGATGTATTGAGAAGCTGAATATCAGAGATTCTGTGTGATAGCGTTGTCAGTGTCAAACAAATTATTCCTCTGACAAAGAGCATATTTCAAACGGGATCAGTATCGTTTTTTTCTGTTTCATCCGTATTATCTTTTGTTCATTTTGACAAATAACATCCCAACAATCCCTACGCCATCATCTGAAATCCTGTTAAATGTCATCTGAGCAAGAGAAGAAGACGTGCTGTGATATGCCCCAAATATTAACAAGCAACACGCGAGCACCAGATCAGGACATCTTTCAAAATAGATTCGTTTTGAGGTTTCACCAGCATAAAAAAATGACGTATTTTGTTATAATAGTGTAGGTAATAGTGAAACTTAACGGTTCTATATTAAATGAAAACTACTAGTATACTGGACAAAAAGTATTAGTGATATGCGTAAATTTTGAAATTGTGAATAATGATCTATTTATTCATTGACACACTGATAAAATATCAATCATAAAAATACCAATATCCCTAACTTATGTTGTCCAGTATATATCGAACTCAAATTGACACTTTCAACTTATTTTGGTTCGTGTTACAGTAGTTCGTTATACGTACTTCGAGTAAAAACGACTCACAGCACGTGGTCGCCACCTAAAACAAGCAGTTCGTTATATCAGTCAGTTCGTTACAAACGTGTTCGTTACGAAAGTAGTTTCCTGTATGTGTAAAGGACGGAATGACCTTTGTGAGTCGAGGTCCCAGCGGTGTGTGACGTCACGATTGAGTGTACAGAGTTGTTTCCCTTAGTTGTGCTAGAAACCTGCCATAACGGGTTCGAACCCAAGTTCGTCGGGTTTCAAGGTGTGTCAGCGCCATATTGATGCTTATGCATTTCTTCAAAGCGGTAACCTTTAAGACTGGTTGCAGTAATGGTGTAGGAGCTCTGCGAACTGGCTAACCGCTAAACTCTACCGACAGTCATTACTGTCAACCTTCCGTGTACTGACTTCCATTCAGTTTTAAGGTCGGTGGGGTAGCCTGTTGGTTATAGCGAAGGCCTGGGTTCGATTCCCCACATGGGTGCAGTGTGTGAACCCCATTTTATCGTGTCCCCAGCTGTGATGTTGCTGTAATATTTCAACAGCAGCGTAAACCCATACTCACTCACTCCGAGATGCCCATGTGGCGCTTGTATGTCTTTTTCGATCTTATAATGGACGATATTTTGAACCTCATTAACGTTTTCGTTGAAACGCAAAATCAAATATATGCTAGACTGAGTATTCTTCAGTGATCCCATGTAAATGACCATTTAACGCCGCTAATTCTTATAAAATAAAGCCGCATGTAAATAGGACTATGAGCATAGGATTTTCTTATAAACCGGGCACATGCGAACAAAGAAGCACGTCTCAGGTCAACCGGGCCTGACCACTTGATAGGAATATGTGACGTACAATCTCTGCGTCTGGCTTTCATTACCGCCATCATCAGATCAGTGGACGGACGCGTCGGATTTGACCCCTAGCTTGACCCCTGTCCTATCCGATCTCTTATTGAAGACATCTTTGCACAGGTCTTTGGAACTCTCCTGCAATGAAAACCATATTGATTCTGCCGTCGGCGTCCTTTGATCTCCCATTGATCCACGTATTGGCAATGCTTAACAAAGCGCCCCTATGCAAGGGCTGGCGTAATGAACTTCGTCGTACGAATAAGCTAATAACCCATACGACAGTGTTCAGAAATATTTGCGCTTACAGCAAATTCCCTTTGGTCATGTAAATAAATCTGATTACCACTGTTATTGATTTAGTCATGTGCATCAGAGATTTCGCTAGTATCAGATATTGTGCTCTAAGGTTCAAGCTCAGCCACAGGGACAGGTTACCTAAATTGGACAACTACCTCCTTATCCATTGCACCTAAAACGTTCCCACTTGTCGAATCTGTTTCATCTCATCTCGCAGATTAAATGCCCAAGGATGATTTCAAAAGGCGCTGTTAATTTGAAAGACTCTAAGCTCGGGAAAAACAAAGTTCGGCGATGAGCATTTTTGAGTCTTTATATCAGCTGGGATGCGTTTGAAGCAATACAATGTAATATCCCCTTAAGAGATTTCACACTCACAAATGAAACATTTTTCTCATTAGATCAGACAGGCATATTTGAAATCCACTTTTTTGTGTGTTAGTGGTTCATAACGACACCGATGGAATAAAATATTCATTAAACGATTAATATATAGAAGAGAGTGAAGTTAAGCCTTGATTTTGCAATTAATGAGATTTATAGAAATATACATGTAGACTCCAAAGAGATTAAAGGGCGTTTCTCATACGATTATACCCAAACTGTGTAGTGCAACTCAGTCTACCTTGTTGGGTGTTTCTTAATTTGTATTGAGTGGTATACAAAAAAATACTAAGCGATTGCATGAATGTCAATTGCATAAACAGCAGCAGAAGTATTGTGTCATACTCTTTCTCCTCCTGCCCCGTGAAGGTCCGGGTTAGAATGAACCTTCAGTAACCCATGCTTGTCGTAATGGGCGACTAACGGGATCGGGTGGTCAGGCTCGCTGGCTTGGTTGACATGTCATCGGTTCCCAATTGTTCTGATCGATGCTCATGCTGTAGATCACTGGATTGTCTGGTCCAGACTCGATTCATTTACAGACCGATGCCATATAGCTGGAATATTGCTGAGTGCGGCATAAAACTAAACTCACTCACTCACTTTTTCTCCTCCTCCACATTATCATCATCATCAGCAGCAGCAGCAGTAGTAGTAGAAGTCGTTGTAGCTGTAGCATGTTTGGTTTTGATCCCACAACAGCAACATGATATCGTCGTCAGATTCGTAAACGTCGGCGTCGATGCCAATGAAGAGCTTGTCTGGAGTTCGAATTCCAAATATCTAAGCATTTCGACTAAAGAAAACGGTAGCCACTGGAACCCAGAGACGTGTAGCTCTAAGTAGTATTTATATATAGTTTGACAATGATATATTTGATTAAGATTCGTAGAATCGGTGATTCGGTAGGATGTTTATCTTTAATGTCGTTTATAATCATCCCGCTTTTGTTATGCAAACCATTTTGGGGAGCACACTGAGATTCGACCAAGACTGTCTTCGTTTTCTGCTCCTCCTGCGACTTCCACTACCATTTGTACAACTAGTACAACAACAACAACAACAACAACTACTACTACTACTACTACTACTACTACTACTACTACTACTACTACTACTACTACTACTACCACCACTACTACTACTACTACTACTACTACTACTACTACTATTACTACTACTACTACTACTACTAAACTACTACTACTACTACTACTACTACTACTACTACTACTACTACTACTACTACTACTACTACTACTACTACTACTAAAACTACTGCCACCAATACTACTAAAACTACAATGCCGTCCGGTAATTCCGCGCACCTAAGCACATCGATCGCAACACGGCAACTAACGTCTCTTATTTTTGTGTGGTTTACGTGACTAAACATGTTAAGCATCATAATATTAATATACGTTTTATTGACGACTACGAGATTCTACGTTGCATTATGCCATACGGTTGACCTTACCGGCGTTTTGACGACATCGCTGGCTGTCCGGTAACTCTGCGCAGCAACTGATGCGCATAACATCCAGCTGAAGTAAGGAAGCGTATAAGGGCCAGATTATTTTAAAAAATCCCTTCATCAATGTAAGAAAGAGTGTTTCATATTAAATCCAATTATGAATAATGAAGAAAAAGGTTTAAAAGTCTGAAGAAAACGAATTTTCATAAAACTGTCAATTTATCTGTCAATTACTGTTATTGGCTTACCTTTAGTGATTAAAAGCCAGTCCCTTGTAGAAATATCCCGATTTCAAGCGTAAAAGTGGTAGCAGACGATGTTTACCTTCGACACGGAAGTACGCTATTGCAACTGCGCAGAATTACCGGACGCGCGGAATCACCGGACTAGCTTGTATTATTACTACTACTACTAGTACTAAAACTACTGCAACCACCATTACTACCACAACTACCACCACGTCTATTACTACTACATCTTCCACTATTGGGGCGGATGGGGTACCGAAGACCCGGGTTCGAATCCCAACGTGGGTACAGTGTGTAAAACCCTGGTGTACCCCGCCGTGAAATCGCTGTAATATTGCTAAAAGCGGCGTAAAACTTACTCACTCACTCCTCTACTATTGTCTCTAATTCTGTTTGTGGTGCTCTTACTTATTAACTGTATTATTGATTGATATAGATGTGACAGTGTGTATAATAACATTTTCATCACAGGTTTTATCACAATCATCATCATCATCATCATCATCATCAATTTGTTGGCTCGTCATGCCGAAGACCCGGGTTCGATTCCCCACATGGGAACAATGTCGCGAAGCCCATTTCTGGTGTCCCCACCATGACATTGCTGGAATTTTGCTAAAAACGGTGTAAAACCACACTCACTCACTCACTCATCATCAATTTATGGAACTGCCATCCTCCCGTCCAACTACACAGAAAGTTTGTAAGTACTTCAAACTCTAACTGATTTCTTCATCACGATCCCTCTCTATCTGCAGCCCTGTTGAGCGCCGCCATCTTCGGTAACGTCTCCTCCATCATGCTGAGACTGTACCAGGGGTCGGAGGAGTACAACGAGAAGATGGAGAGCATTAAAGAATTCATCAAGTTTCACGAGATTAACAAGACATTGGGCAACAGGCTGACGGAATCCTTCCAGCATGCTTGGACATACACCAACGGAATTGACATGAACAATGTAAGTGCATTCTCAGGGATAACTTAGTGCTTTGTTATTTAGATGCAAGTCAGCCTGTGGAGATCCGGGTTAGAATTGGTCTTCAGTAACCCTTGTTTGTCGTAAGAGGCGACCACTGGAAAACTTTGCCAAGCTTCATGAGAAGATGTCTAACCTGAAAACAGTTACCAAATCACACGCTACAAACAAACAGGTGAAAAATACTCTCAAAATCTGCGACATCTGTGTCAAATATCAATAACACATTTCTTTCTTGTTTTGGGACGGTGGGGTAGCCTAGTGGTTAAAGCGTTCGTCACGCCAAAGACCCGGGTTCGATTCCCCACATTGGTACAATGTGTAAAGCCCATTTCTGGTGCTCGCCGTGATATGGCTGAAGTATTGCTAAAGGCGGCGTAAAACCATACTCATTCCATCACTATTATTAAAGATCCACCTTCTTAATGTTTTATCTATCTATCTATCTATCTATCTGTCTATCTAGTCAGTGCGTGTATATATATTCATATGTACGCACACACGCGTGAATTTATAATATTAAGAACTCCGAAAGGAGCACAATAGGCATTTAGTATTCCCCAACTATTCCCAACTAGATTTTTTATCCTTACTTTTTAAATATAATGGCCATTTTGTGGGCGGCAGCCATTGCTACGTCCGTGTTACAGGTGTATTCTTACGTCGCAATGAATGACACGACAGTACAGCTATGACAATGAAATATAAACCAGGTGCTTGTCTCAGACGTTTTGCACAGCATCTGTTCCCCCGACCGTCCTAACGCAAGTCCAGATTTACCTCACCCCAGGCGACTTGGTCTTCAGAAACCCATACTTGTCGTAAGAGGCGACTAACAGGATCGGGTGGTCAGGCTCGCTGACTTGGTTGACACATGTCATCATATCCCAATGGCGTAGACCGATGCGGAGTTGCGAAGTGGAGTTGCTTGTTTTATCAAAATTATATATTTTCAGAGATTAAGCGTTCGTTTAATGCTTGCCTGTCAGATTTTCCATTCGGATACTTTCGCTTTTGATGAACGTGTATTGTCACGTGAATATAGAAAAAAAAATTATGGATAACAACTTTTATTTGTGAGTGCGACGTTTCGATTGTCACGTGACCTCAAATAGCGACTTTTTTGAATGATTGATTGAGGAGTGTCATATTACCCAAACCGTGATTTACATACGAATAAGGGTTTTACGAGATCGTTAAACTTTTGATCAGGAAGAAGCTTAACTTTTAGAAGCCTTTTTACAATCCAGAATTACACAAAACGTTCTTCAAGCTCTTACGAAACAAAAAAGAACATCTTTAAAAATCGAATATCTCCGATCACGACATGTTTTGTGTCTACGAACGGTTAAATCACATGGGGTAAAAAATCAAAGCGAAAGAATCCGATATTGAGAGAACTACGCCAGGCAGCTGCATCCCAGCTGAGGATGCTGGGAGTTGATGTCGTAGAGACTTGGTATAGGATTAGCGGAACGTCACTCTTAAATCAGCCGTCTTGACAGCAGCCATTATGGAAGGCAAAGTTTCAACCTTGATGTATGGATATAACTAATAACTCCGGTCGTTGAGACATGTTTATGGCCCCTGTACATTAGGCTGAAACGTATGTTTTTATAAGTTAATTAACTACATCTATCGCAATGCTATATGAAGGCTGGATAACGGCGCAGCCAGCTGAGAACCCTGCCGTTTATGTCGTTGACAAAAGCGTGGCTGTCGTAGGCGATGACGCACAAAGACATGCGTGGTGGTGGTGTTTGTGTTAACGTGCAGGTAAGGCAGAGACAGTAATGGTTACCGGGGTAGGAGGGATGGAGGGAGGACGGGCATAGGAGCCAATGAATCATACCTGATCTGAGTATAAAATTCATATTTATTTGATTGCACTTTGTTTAACAATATTCCGCAGTGAACAATATTCAAACATGTGAAGACTGTCTGTAAATAATCGAGTCACGCCAGGCAATCCAGTGGTCGATATCATGAGCGTCGATCAGTTGGGATAAGTTGACCAAGTCAGCGAGCCTGACCACCCGATCCCATTAGTCACTTCCTCCGACAAGCATTGGTTGCTGGGGACCAATTCTAACCTGGATCGTAAAGGGTAGATTTAAGACGGACAGATGTTGGTTTGAGTGGACTAATTGGGAGGTGGGGTGTTTGTTTGTCGTTTAACACCACTGTCAGCACTACCCCAGCTATATCACGTCAGTCTGTAAAACACCGAGTCTGCATCCAGTGATCAACATCAACGTTAGGTGTCACACGGAGATATGTTCATGGTCGGGGTTAGATTAGCACTTAGTCTCTGAATATATATAACTTGGATAGAAACAAATACCTCCATTTAAACTGAAAACGAGCCGCAGTGAGAACTGAGAATCAACCTGAGGAAATCTAGACGTCCCACAGTCAGGGCCTTAGCTTTCCTGACAGGGCTGGGTGGAATGAAAAATAATCACCAAGGACTGTGAGACAGACTTGGTCGGGGTCAAACAAAGCCGTTTAAGGAACAATGATAAATAACACTATTCTGAATCTTGATGTACGTACATTGGGCAAGCACTCCGATAAACCTAACAACATAATGTCTTCTTGGTTATTCCAACGACATGAATATAATAAAGTTGGCTTCCAGGCAAGCCGTACTGTAGATGGAAATCAGGAACACAATTCCAAGTCAATCACGAGAATCTTTTCATACAATCTGAAATCAAGTGCCTCCGCCGTCACGCGAAATGCTCCCTAATCCCCGGGACGACACGGGGTTGTCTGCTCTTGGAAAGTCTATCCGCCATGTTGGATAAGGTGCAGAGCCTCAGTAATCAGCGACAGGGAAACATATTAAGTGTGTAAGATCTGTCAGGCTGTAGAGATGTCCATACAAGCCGGTAGACGGGTCGATCATAGGTATAATATTTCTTCCACGATGCCCCCATTAGATGTCGTATTTCTATCGATCGCGACCTGCCACAAACCGATCCAGGAACGAGATAAAACGAGACTTTAGAGTTATTTACGAGAGCCGGTCGCCAGAACAGTCGGTTTATCTAAAGAACTCGACATTTCGTACAAAGCTGGCGTTATCCTGTAGATAAAGATATATAACTTGCGTAGGATCTGATGAAATATGTCGTCAATTCCATACTTAGTCTGCCAGGGAAGATGATTTATGAAGGTATTCGAAGTTGTAAAATTGTATTTATGCATCCATTTTCCATACATATATAATGGGCTGTGGATAGGCCAGTGGTTAATGCGTTCGCTCGTCAATCAAAGGCCCGGGTTCGATTTGTCATAGTGGTGAGGCCAGACACTTTTTTGTGTGTTTCGTACATGCTTCCCTGAATTTTCATCTTTAAAAATTATTTCGTCACTTATATCTATCCAACAATTATTCCCGAAGCAAAGAGGTCCCATCTAATTTATACACTGTAAAATGATATCGCACTAAAACCATTTTATTTATTAACACCTCAACTTCAGCGGTATATTTATTCTATATGAAAGGAAATTGTACTTTTGGCCTACAATGCACAACAAACTCAATATCTGTTCTCAAGGGTGCTGAGAATGAACCCCTAGCGCACATACTTCCACTGGCCTTGTTGGGGCGGTGGGTAGCCCCGTTGTTAAAAACGTTCGCTCGTCACGCCGAAGGCCCGGGTTCGATTGCCCACATGGGTACTATGCGTGAAGCCCATTTGTGGCGTCCCCCGCCGTGATGTTGCTGGAATATTGCTAAAAGCGGCTTAAGATCATATTCACTCATTCACCCTCTGGCCTTGGTAGTAATGTGGAGGAGTAAACTTGCATTTGGGGCTTTTTAAGTACGGTGATCGTTAGAACCGATACGTTAATGAAAAGGAAATATCGTCACCAACTTATGTTTTGTTCTTTCTTTTCGTCTTTCGACGAATGTAATTTTACCTCGGGGCGATGTAAATAGTAAACTTAGTATTTATTGAAACTAATGATGAGGCCTCAGTTTTACCAATCCAAACTTGTCTCCAGACTCCGCGGACATCAAAGAGAAAGTCACGTAAACTCATCATTAGGTCGGATTTGTGAAATAACAGCGTAACGCCCACACTGAGTGCATGTGTCCTTAGATCGCCAAAACCTCATCGAATTAAATGACACAACGAAACTGAGTGAGTGAGTTTTAGTTTTGCGACGCACTCAGTAATATTCCAGCTATTGTCTGGACCAGACAATCCAGTGATCAACAGCATGAGCATCGATCTGCGCAATTCGGAACCGATGACATGTGTCAATCTAGTCAGCGAGCCTGACCACCCGATCCCGTTAGTCGCCTCTTACGCCATGCGTGGGCTACTGAAGATCAATTTTAACCCGGATCTTCACGGATCCACGAAACTGAGAAGACAGAAACAGAATTTGTTGTCCACAAAAATGATCACTTGAAAGGATTTCAATAAATTATGTTATATTTGCGTCGAATAATCTTTTCTACTGTTTTAAAATGTTTTACCCAGATAAATTTGAAATTACCTTGTAAAAATCTTATTACGGATCATGAAGAGTGTTTTTGTGCTTGTTTCACAGAAATGTTTACGATGATTTTATTCAAAATTAATATTGGTAAAATCAAAACAAATCCCATCGATGCTCATTTAAATCTCTACTTACTTTAAAATAAAGATCAGACAGGGAGACAATGTGTTATTTTGTTCTGTATCAGATGTTTGATGAAGAATGAAATGCAATATCAAGGCTTAAACCTGATATCTTTGATGCGTTTGTTTGACACATGTAACAGACATTTTATTAATCCCTGCCCATCCAAAATAGAAACCTTGCGAAAAAAACATTCTTATTTTTCTGACATTGTGCACGATTTAACAAACCCAGCTCAATTCTCCATTTGTTCCCGTGGCAGCGAACCGGTATTTGATAGCTTGTTAACTACCCATTAGCCCTGAATCTGCCGACGAGGGACGACACTTCGAAATTCGTCACAATCAAAATGCAAATTTCTGGCATCAAAGATAGCAGTAATGGCCAAAGTATTGAATTTTCTATTTTCCCTTTGAAGTGGTATTTTATAGCAACTATAATCCCCGAGTCGTTACAGGTAGCTTAAATCTAGAGAACAGCTGCGACAGAAAAGATTTTTACAAAAAACATATTTGATAGAACGCATTTAAGAACGTTGTACTTGTGAACGGAATATTGAACTGATTTTGCGTGTTTTTCAATGACATCATGGAATGTTTTATTTAAAATTTACTTTTGTTTCAAATAGGGGAACCACGTGATTAATGGGTTTTACATTTGAATAGGCTTTTGAGAAAAAATCAATTCGTTTTAGGACTTAAGTTTTTAACGTTTAACAGCTTTGATCATTTAAGAACGTTACTTTTCTTTTTTCGGTGGGACTAAGTAACAGTCCAACATATTTCTAGTTTCTAGCATCATTCTGTAACCAGAAGATTAGTATTTTGTTTAACGCTGCACTCAGTAATGTTCCATCGGTATGACGGAGATCTGTATATTGATAAGTGATCGGGGCCAGACAATCCAGTGATTAACATCATCAACCCCGATACCGAGCTTCATGCATTACGTTCATCAGTTCATCAGCCTGACCTACCGATCCAGTAACTCGCCTTTGAAGACAAGAATTTCTGATGAACAATATTGGCATGGATCATCACAGAAGCTTTGTTTAATAACTTAAGTTATATTGTTTAAGATCTGCTTGATGTTGACAAGTACATTATAATTACCAATGATTTATTTTCTGTAATGAAACCCAGACAATCTGAAATTGCATTTTCGTTGTACAAATAGAAACAATTTGAAGCCCATTTCTGGTGTACCCCGCTGTGATATTTTTTGGAATATTGATAAAATTGTCCTAAAACAATGCTCACTCGTTGTGCAAATTATTGTTCTGAACTTTTGCAAAATCGATTTCAGAGGCAATGTCATTGAATGGTGTTTTCATAATTAACGGAACAGAAACTGTTGTAAAACAGAAGTAATATGGTAACATAGAAGAATGAGTGAGTATTATTTTACGCCGCTTCTAGCGATATTCCTGTAATTTCCTGGTACCAGAAATTGGCTTCACACATTGTACCTATGTGGGGAATCAAACCCGGGACTTTCACGTGACGAGCCAACGCTTTAACCGCTAAGCTACTCCACCTCCCCTCGTGCTATGCCAGACAATAGAAGAACATGGATGACGGTTTTTATTTTTAACAGCATCCAACTATCGGTTTACCGTTAGAGTTCCGTAACATTCGGAAACAAGCAAGACATTTGTTATTGGTATTTGACACAGATGTCTCAGGTTGTTGTTTTTTTTCCTTTTGTTTGTAGTGTGTGATTTGGCAATACTTCGTAGTAACATTCTCAAGTTTGGCAAAGTTTTCAAGGTACTAGATGTCTTTTAGCGTGACAGTGTATAGACAGTCGATCTACATGGTGTTTCCAACATCCGATCAAAGTTAATCACTGGCTTGTCGCTATATCAACTGGTCCATGTGCACTACATGCATTGTATGCATGCAACTATCCCTGTTTGTTTAAACCTTTTGCAGTTAGTATGGCAATGCAGGCTTGAACTGATGAAACGAAATAGAAATAAAATCGGCAAGCTCTCAAGGGAAACGACATAAATTGTTGAAATATATATTGTCCTTTTGCACGCTATTGCGGAAATACACGTTGCTTATAACTACATTCCTGAACTTCATTACGAGAAATGAACACGAATGTTACGGAACTCTAACGGTACACCGATTGTTGGATGCTGGTGAAAATCAAAACCGTCATCCATATTCTGCAAGTGTCTGGCTCAGCACGAGGGGCAGTTGGGTAGACTAGTGGTTACAGCGTTCGCTTGTCACGCCGAAGACCCGCGATCGATTCCCCACATGGGTACAGTGAAGCCCATTTCTGGTGTCCCCCGCTGTGATATTGCTAAAAGCGGCCTAAACCTCATTCACTCACTCCACACGATCCGCAGCTGTTGCCATGCACTTAAAACTGCAGGGATGTGTATTAGAGACAGGTTATTTTTGGTCTGTTTCGGAAGAGGCATTCTGTTCGTGAAACGATACGCTAAACAATTTCATTATATTTTACAGCACAGGTTTTAATACATATAGAGAGCCTAGTAAACAATATGTGTTTTCGCGTAAGCCTCAGACCTATATGATTATCTGTTTACAGAAATACCCCATATTTTTTCCAAGAGTAGACGGAGGGGATCGCTTTCACACTAGTAATCAGCGTGTGTTTGAGTTTTTTGTTATTACATCGCAAGATATATTCTGGAAGCATTTTTTTAAAGCATTGTGTCTTAGTATCGAGAGTAATGGATCTCAGGATCAAACGCAGATGTGTTAGTGTCAAGACTGGCATGTCTTAGTATCAAAGTTTGATGCGTCTAAGTATCACAAGCTTTTTTAGATTATGCGTCTTAGTATTAAAAGCAGATGTGTCCAAGTATCAACAACTGATGCGTCTATGTACGAAATTTCGACACTTCAACAGAAACTAACAAATTCTCCTTATGTCCAGAATAGCAACGCTGTGCGTCCATCGACCTTGCGCAGTAGCCGTCCAAATTTCTCTTGCTCTGCGCAGACCGTGTAATCCTATTGTGCCCTTTGATAAATGGTATGTCTACTTTTGCAAGGCAAAGCTAAGCTAAACGAACGGAAATTAGTTCGATCTTTGCATGATAAAGAAAACCCATCCCTGCAAAATCATCTCGGTAATGACTGCGATCAAGGAATATCTTTCTAAAATCTTGTTAGAATAGATCATCATGGTAAATTAATTTCTTCCGAGAATTAGTAATTTGCCATTCGAAAGGAAAGAAGATAGCCCTTAGTTCCCTCCCGCTTATTTGAAAGGGCGGCAGTCTTTGAAGATAATATCATATTCGTTTGTTGATAATGTTGTATTAAATTAGACGTATTTGTTTTCAAAGGAACAAGAAAGTAATTATATTTACAATTCCACATGCTTTGAAAAAAAATCGCTCACATAGTTTAATGTTTCTAAATGTATAAATCAAAGAAAACCTTCGTGCTCTGAAGTGGGTAATTAAGTATATTTCAGATGTTTTGAGGATTTTTTTCTACATTCCTTTAAACCACATAAGCATACTGTCTGGGTGTTCTTGCACTGGGCGAAATCACGTGACGTCCCGACAATGAAGCATGTCGTTGAAGGCACAAATTCAGACGTTAACGTCGCAGATTGAAATTAAGAATACACTTCCAAATGTCTTCCATAACAGTTTCTGGGTCTATAAAAGACAAAATAGTTATGAAAATTGTATAAATATGTCACTGAAAAGCTAGGGACGACACCAAATGTTCGTGGAAGGGTAAGCGTGTTTGTTTCTGAAGTACGTCTTGCCAGTACCGTTTCTTAAAGCTATCGTAGCGCTGACTGTCGTACGTCTATGTTACAGTATAGGAGGCGCGGCAGTCGTAGCGCGACGATAGCTTTGTGAAACGGGGCCCTTTACTGTGGGAAGGTGTGGAAATGGATGCATGTCTAGGAAAACACGTTGTTGTCATCTTAAATACTTTCAGCTGAATATCCACTTTATAAGTTACAGGATAGTTTTAATGCAGTGTCCCTAAGCAATGGCCATCGTCGTCGTCATCGTCGTCGTCGTCATCATCATCATCAGCATCATCATCATCATCATCATCATCATCAACATCATCGTCATGATGACGACGACGACGGCGACGACGACGACGACGACGACGATGATGATGATGATGATGATGATGATGATGATGATCAAATTATTGTATGAACAATTGTTGAGTTAGTATTATCATCATTGATATTTTTATCAACAGGTTTTGAAGAGCTATCATCCTCATCCTCATCACCGTCACCATTGTCCTTATTTCTATCCCCAGGTATTAAAGAGTTTCCCCGACTGCCTGCAAGCTGATATATGTCTTCATCTAAACCGGAATCTGCTCAATAACTGTGGGGCATTTAAAGGAGCCAGTCCAGGTAAGCGTCACTGTAGGGATAACTGGTATATGACCAGATGGTGGCCACATGAATACGTGCAAACACCTAGTTGCGGGTACAGCAATGTGCAGTGAAGTTGGACAAAGTACTGTGACTATGTGTCCTAGTCCACCCAGCTGTGAATGGGTACCTCGTTAGGATGAGGAAGCCGCAATAACTCGGTGCGCCTAGTGGCTGCAAGAGTTGTATACTCCCCAGGGAATTGAAATTGATTATACGATGTGCCGTTGAGATTGACATCCAATGATCGAGGGGAAAATACCAGCGCCTTGAGCATGCACTAGTTGCCTGGATATGTGCGCTATATAAATATCCTAAAATAGCCTAAAAAAATAATAATAATAACTGCATCATCATCGATGTAACACTATTTGTGTTGTTGTTTGTTGTGTGTAGTACAGCACACGCAAATCCGCTTGTCCTTAAAGGTTTAAACGGTAAGGACCAGGTTGAATAAACTTGGGTTTTATTTGTGTCGAAAATACACACATGTGCCTACTCGAATCTCTCTTACCCATGAAGATCCGGGTTCGAATTGATCTTCAGCAACCCATGCTTGTCGTAAGAGGCGACTAACGGGATCGGGTGGTCAGGCTCGCTGACTTGGTTGACACATGTCATCGGTTTCCAATTGCGCAGATCGATACTCATGCTGTTGATCACTGGATTGTGTGGTTCAGACGCGATTATTTACATTTTTGATTTAAACATATTTTATTCAGTGAAGAAAGGGATGAGGAACAAGTCATCCAACTTAGGTAACCATCTCCTGAGTATTTACAACATGATAACTATACAACAACATACATGTAATATAGAAAGAAATATAGTACAGAAATGGTAGAGACCTATGTACGGAGATAGTTATTAAGACATATGAAAATAATTTACAGCATTCAAGAAAAACGCTTGCTATTTGATATATAATGCTGAACTACTTTAAATATTGCATGATTTTGAGTATATGATAAGTTATATACAGACCGCCGCCATATAGCTGGAATATTGCTGAGTGCGGCGTAAAACTAAACTCACTCACTCACTCACTCGAATCTCACTTGCCGCGACTGTTTCTATGCTTGTAAGTACCATACCCTTGCTCGCGGGTTTCGTCGAACACCTGGAACGGTGGGGTAGCCCAGTGGTTAAAGCGTACGCTCGTCACGCACATGTACAAGTCCCTGGTTCGATTTCCCTTATGGGGACATTGTGTGAATCCTAATTACGGTGTCCGTCGTCGTGGTTATTGCTGGAATATTGCCAAAAGCGGCGTAAAACTAATCACTGACTGGTCTAACACTTGCATTACTCCGGGCTTTCCCCCACATTTAGCAGACATGCTGTTATATACTTGTATATTGTACAAGGCGACGTTAAAACCAACTGTTTCGACCACTGCATGAACAACAATATAGCGGATCAACAATATGGTGGCCACTTAAACACATTCTTGCTTGAAATGATATATCTCAGAATTGAGTACATTAAAAATCTATAAAAGTAAAATTCACATTTCAAATTATTTCAAAATTGCCATGAAACCACTTTCGACCAGTGCCCTTCGGCTCCTAGTATGAATAGGGTTCTGTTGCTATGGTAATTGCGGCTAGATTTCCTTCAGAAGCTGGAAATCATAAAGTTGATCATGGAGAAATATGTCTTTTTCTTAACTTGCTCAAGACAAGACATAAAAATAAATGCGGGGGCGAGTTGACTGTGAGAAAAAAGTCATATATTTCACCAAGCCCAGCAGGCTCCTTGGAAACCGGTTCGTGACAACCGGTTCATGAGTGTCAGAAGAAGTCAGATATTTTACTAATCACAGCAGGCTGCTCGGAACCGGTTCGTGACAACCGGTTCGTTTCTGTGAGAAGAAGTCAGATATTTTACCAATCCCAGCGGGCTGCTCGGAACCGGTTCGTGACAACCGTTGTTTACTACCCAGCTTAGATACGGATTACGCCCAGTGAAACCTGATATAACCGGAACGCCCACTGATATAGAACGAAACACCGTTGTGTCGAAATTCGATTTGTCGAACAGACTTTTGTGTCGAAGTAAAAGCAGGGTTCTTCATGTTCAATATATATCATCATTTTGTCGAACCACGGATAACACGAAGTATTTAGCTTCGCCCCTTCTACTTCGACCCAACAGAGTTTGAATGTATTAACTGTTAATCATATAATTGGTAGGTGTTTTCGGCAAGATAAATCAACGGATGAAAACTGAATTCATTTGGGTCTTAAACGGATAATTATGCAAATGTGTAAGGTCAGGTAGTGCCACTTTCAGTGTTTATAAACATGGCATCGCTTTTGTCTGTCGGCAATGGAATCTGAACTGACCATTGGGATCGGGACAAATGACCAGGATAATGGTTATCATTACTGTACAAAATTGCTAGAACATCAGGAAATCCGGCCGCCAATCCGGGCAGTCTTATTGGATGACCACATCAGTTAAAACAGCTTGAAAGTGGACAATTATCGGACACTGAGTATGTCTTAACACCAAACATCGGCATCGCAGTTTTGTGCGGCTGCAGTTATCTTTTGAATTGCGCGAAAGACACCAAAATAGGCAGAATAATTGCCTGAAATGATCACTGTAATGCCTGGGTAACCTTTTGGTCACTTTGATGAAATGGCATAACGTTTTTGTGCTGTGTGTTGGAAATGGGTTAGTCTTTGTGTCCGACTTCAGTATAACCAGGGCGGTGGGGTAGCCTAGTGGATAAAGCGTTCGCTAGACATGCCGAAGATCCGGGTTCGATTCCCAACATGGGTACAATGTGTGAAGCCCATTCCTGGTGTCCCCCGCCGCGACATTGCTGGAATATTGCTAAAAGCGGCGTAAAACTAAACTCACTCACTAGTTGGCCGAATGGACGTGGCTGTTTGGGGGTCTTGATGTGGTACCACGTCCTCTCAGTCAAGAACTGGATCCGGAATATGCTGACTGAGTAGCCTAATGGTTAAAGCATTTGTTCATCACGCCGAAGATCCGGGTTCGAATCTCCACATGGGTACAATGTGTGAAGCCCATTTCTGGTGTCCCCGCCTTGATATTGATTGAATATTGCAAAAAGCAGAGTGAAACCATTCTCTTACAAATCCCGCCAATGCAGATGTAGAGCAAACACACATTGTAGCTCCCCCTGTGGCATGTATTCACCAACAGTTACATACTCAATCGCGTCTCTTACACAGGCCATTAGCACTCATGGTTCAAAACTTATCAAACCATCTTACTGTAAGATGCTTGGACCCGTATCCACTGGTGCTTACTGTTCTCAACCGCTCTTGTTCCTAAGACACCATTCCGTCTTGTTGCGAGACTGCCACACCTGACAACAGAAAATAATCAGAATCACAATGCATAATGCATGCTGATATTAAGATAAAATAGAAACAGACTAAGCTGTTCGGGACAGATTGGATTTTATACCTCCATCTAGTTCCGCCCTCTACCAAAATAACCTGCCTTATATCTGGCTTTACCGCAAAGAGAAATCAATTTCATTCTAATTCGCTCTGTTCAACCGCATGATATTTCATTACTCACTTGATGCCTAAGCAAAAACGGTCAAACTTGAATCGTTCGTAAAATAACTGAAATACGGATACTGTATATTTACGAATTCGTTTGTACGTACCGATTTACATCGAAGCCTTTATGTAGATTTGGCGACTCGGCTTTAATTTTAGAGATAAATTGACAAGGTATTCAGCCTATTTCAAGGAACACCCATGCAACATGCCGTTTGTGAATCAAATCCATTTCTGCCAAACCCACTCTCTCTCTAATCCTACGCATATCTGGTTTGTTTCAGGCTGTTTACGAGCTCTTTCCAGGAAGTTCAAGACTACGCATGCGCCACCGGGAGATACATTACTACATCCGGGTGCTATCATGACAGCCATCTACTTTATAGCACGTGGTTCTATAGAAATCCTCAAAGATGATACAGTCATGGCCATATTAGGTAATCAAGATTTGGTAGTTGTAATAAGTTATAATTAATTTCAGTGTTGTTCATTGAAATTCCTGCCTTCTGACTGGCTGAACTGGCCACGTGTCGCATTCATTTAATCTAAACATTCAACCACGCCCATCAATACGGACTACTTTCATCACTACGGATGTTTGCAGTCGAAGGAATTTCGGTCCTGTCTACCAGTATTATTCTTTCACAGGACCGTATGACGATATGCATATATATTCAGGCTTCCTTTAACCACCTTTCGATACCTGGACCCTGATGAAATGAAGCAACATTACTGAAGGGCCTGCAAGTTTTCGCATGTTGGTCTTCGCTCGTTTGGGTTACGTAGATGCAATGTGTCAGGGTTCTATTCCTGAGTATCTTTTGTTCAGCTGTGTCTACCCGTTGTTACGAAATCAATGCTTGAATTGAATTTGGCGGGTACTGAACATCTCATTTAAAATAGCCGCCTTCTTCCTGACATATCCGGGGCAATGGGGTAGCCTAGTGGTTAAAGCGTTGGCTCGTCACGCCGGAGACCCGGGTTCGAATCCCCACATGGGTAAAATGTGTGAAGCCCATTTCTGGGGTCCCCCGCCGTGATGTTGCTGGAATATTGCTAAAAGCGGCGTAAAACCAAACTCAGTCAGTCAGTCCTGACATATCCATCCTGGTTTCCTATAGTCTGACTGTATCCCGCTACCCTGATTCATACATTTTGAACATCGGTTTCGAGATTCATACCTCAACGACCGGAAACATTATTATATATTTTGTAAAACAAGATAATTTACTACTTAATATAAACCAAAATACCAGTCACAACTTAATCACGTAAATAGAAACTGTAATTAAAAAATCTGATTCCCCCCTAACCTTTTGAATACAAAAAACAAAAATCACCCACTAACTCCTCGATCACCAGTGTCGGTGTAGTCGTGCGTTACGCTGTAGATACGTGGTACAGTTCAGTTGCAGATTAGTCTCAGACAGTCCGGCATTGCATGCGATGTTCGTCTTAATCTTCCACCATTAGGCACACAAGAAAACCGCTTAGTCTGTCATCCAGATCAGTGCTTTCACTATGTCTAAATCGGAACCGAAATAAATACGTTTTAATCAATGAAAGTACAAGCCTTTTTTCAGGGAATTGAGAAATAGATACTACAGCGTGTTTGTTCTCGTTCTTGTATTAAGATATAAGTATTTGCAGTCTTTGAACGGCATTTATGGGTGAACACCTAAAGGAGAGAATTTATTGATGTCAACTTCTGTGTTTTGAAGAAGACGAAGTTTCGGAGCATGTTCTCACTACTTCATCAGATCGACGCCTTCATTAAAGTATTTAGTCGAAAAAATTATGTAATACCAACCTTTTTTTAAATGTAAAAACCTTTTGTGGCATGCTTTTCAAATCAAACGTAAGCCTACGTTAGATGATCATGTGAATGGGACAGGCCGGATTCCATTCTTGTCGGATTTGAGGTGAAATTCTCCTGTCTGGCCACGTGATGCTTCGCTTTGGACCCTGTGCGCGGATATAACCAGGATGATTTTATGGACGCATCTAACAGCTGCGAAACTGAACGATTCGTTTCAACAGTCTCTGTGTTCTCACCTGAAGAGTAAAGTCTACTACTTGGTTGCTTTTATTGAAAACGCATAATGTATCTTTTTCCAAAGCTGTTTCTCATCACACACATGTAAGTCCTCATTTTCCTGTTTAGAAATTAAAGAATGATTGAGGTTTTTCTGCAAATCAGTACAAAAGTACATGTTGTGTTGAATCTGTTTAACAGAAACTTATCATGGATGTCGCATAGATTGGGCATGTTATGTATTAAAGTATTGACAAACATTTGAAGCTAAAATTTTCCAGGGGAGATTTTTTCTTGAAATATAACCCTTTATGATCTCTTTAATTTTGTTGATTGCGAACGTTTGTATCAGCATGTTGTTTTTTTATCATCCAAAACTGTGTTCCACAGGAGATATTGCTTGTGTGAGATTAGACGATATCTCCTAGAAGATATCATTTTGACATTAGATTTTGCACAATGCCCTGACAATGCTATGACGTCATGAACATGATGACGTCACAGTATGTCGTACTATTGTTCTTAACGTATTTTGAGTAGTATAGTTATGGTAATGAGGTAGATCAGCTGATAAAGCGATGACGCCGCTGGTTGAAAATCCTTGATTAGTTCCCACATCGTTAGAGTGTACAGTCACCATTTTCTGTGTCCCCGCCGTGATATTACTTATCTCTCGATGTTACTTATCTCTCGATGTTACTTATCTCTCGATATTACTTATCTCTCTCTCGAGATGTTACTTATCTCTCGATGTTACTTATCTCTCGACAACCCAGATTCACCCTCTATAGATGTGTTCCTGCTGTATGTTAATTCTGACTTCCTGTGTTCGTGATATAGCCATCCATATTTTCAATGAATAAATAAAACTAACCCCAAAATGATAATATAAATTTCACCAATTGTGTAAATTATATTTATGAAATGTTAGAATTAACATCATTACACAGTAGCCATTATATTAATTTTTAATGTTATAAAAGTCGCTTGGCTTCGGAAACAATTAATATTTTTTTAATGTAAAAATGTCAAACAGACCTGGTCCTTTTTACATCACATCAGGATATACATTTCCACAGTGTCGGGGAAAATGGAGAAAACAGTTGTTATTTCACATCGGAATGAAAATTCAGGATGGGTAGGAAATAGGAAATGCAGAAAATTGCGACATCAGCAGTTTTGATTTGGTCAATGTCCATTTCAAAATACCTCTGGCATTACATTAGCAACAAAGGGATACACTGTTTTAATTAAAACATTGCTGGGTAGCCGAGTTGGTGCCACAAATCACCGCGACCTCTTGGCCTGCCAGGATCATCTGACCATGAGTTCGAATCCCAGTGCGCTCTGACTATGTCATATATTTGTCAGCTCCATACGTATGCTTTTGGGTTTCAAGAAAATGCCCGATGGGCGATTTAGTTTTCCAAATTTTCTTTTTTCCATTTTTTTCATTATTAGCATATATTTATGGTAAATGCGTGTTGAATTTTGTCAAATCCCTTGACAGGAAGTGGCCACAGCCCGGGTAGTTTCTGGACGTTTGGGTTTCCAGAATTAAATTGAGACATGTTTTGTACATTTAAGACATGGCCCCGTTTCACAAAGCTATCGTAGCGCTACGACTGTCGTACCTCCTATACTGGGCCTAGAGTTTCCAAGCTCTCTGAGAGCTAAGATAGTCGTAAGTTAATGTTAATGTATGACACTTACGACTATCTTAGCTGTAAGCGAGCTTCGAAAATCCAGGCCCTGTAACATAGACGTTCGGCAGTCGTAGCGCTACATTGGCGGATCCAGAGGGGGTCAGGGTTCGCCCCTTTGAAAATAACTTAAGACCGTATTGAAGATTTTTTTGCGTTGGCGGACCCCCCCTTTCAAAATTCCTGGATCCGCCCATGGCGCTACGTTAGCTTTGTGAAACGGGGCCCAGCATCTCTATATATACACCGTGATAGATGCGAAATACTGGTAGAAGCGACGTAAAATCTCGTTCACTAACACGTTGTTTTGTATTATTTCCATGTAGGTAAGGACGATATATTTGGCGAGGATATAAAAGATCCAGATAAGATGACGATAGGCAAGACCATGTATTGTGTCCGGGCGCTGTCGTACTGCGACATCAACAAGATTGAGCTGGCTGACCTCAAAGAGGTTCTATACACGTATCCGGAGTTTGCGGACACGTTCCTTCAAAAGTTCCAAGTGACCTTTAACCTTCGAAAGGTGAGCCAAACTGTTGTTACAGAAGTTCGAGTTATAAGTATGCTCGATACCGACAGAATTCGTTCCGTATTCAGAGCAAGGATGAGTCTCCGGAACTAGCCGGAAGGAACTACATTCACCCGTTCAGCGCAGCATACACTCACAAGAATTGATGAATTTATTTCAAGATACAATGTTTTCATGTTTCCAGGGCACACTACTGCAACGAAAGGTTAAAAGCAAAATGGAGGATGAGACGCTGAAGTTTATACGTCAACGGCGTCCGAGACTTCAGTGTAAGCGACGTAATACAGAAATCGAAGGTGAGTTGGTGTCTTGACTCATTCTTGGTACTTTAAAAGGCTCGCCGACATGATTCATGCAAGCCATCGTATTTCAAATTGATCAACGCTCATAATGTCGGTCACTTGATTGCCTGGTCGAGATCTGATTATTTACATACTGCCGTCATATAGTTGGAACATTGCAGAGTACGGCATCAAGCAACAACAACAACAACAACAACAACAAAACTATTAATTGTGAGAACTACATGTTCAAGGTGAAGCACGGGGTGGTGGGGTAGCCTTGAGGTTAAAGCGTTCGTTCGTCACGCTGAGGACCCAGGTTCGATTCCCCCCACATGGGTACATTGTGTGAAGCCAATTTCTGGGCTCCCTGTCTTTTCTGGCTGTTTGTCTCCCGCCGTAATATTACTGGAATATTGCTAAAGGCGGCGTAAAACTAAACTCACTCACTCACTCCAACAGTAGCTCTTAAGATACATACGAACAAGTACATTCAGCTATACACAAACACATTAAATCCTATTTTACATCACCTCTTGCCAGTGTCCCTGAAGAAACATTGTGGGTCCATTGCCACAGTGACCTTTGCTGTCTCATCGACGTTCTTTATAATTCCCCCTATTATCTTCAACAGGACGTGCTGGTCTGCGGCAACGTCGAGTGGGCAGCATGGACGCACGACGTACCAGCCGCGACATCATCGACCTGTCTGCTAGCGAGGATGAAGGGGTGGGGATCTTGGAACTGTCGACAGAGGGCGCCACTGAGGAGGTGACGGAGGAAGACTTCAACAAGAAGACAGGTAATTTGTCACAGAATCCATACCGCCACACCGAGACACTAATCGTTACTCTCATCCAGTACTGCAGACCTCTCCTTACTCGCTCTCATATCTACATACAAATCCTTACTCATGCTCATCTATTGAGATAGTGGTTAAGGCGTTCCGCTCGTCACGCCTAAGACCAGGTTCTATTCTCTACATGGGCACAATGTGTGAAGCCCATTTCAGGTGTCTCCGGATTTGTAGATCGATGTTCATGCTATTGATCACTGGATTGTCTGGTCCAGACTCGATTGTTCAGACCGCCGCCATACAGCTGGAATATTGCTGTGTGTGTCGAAAAATATAAACTCACTGATTAGACATCAATACCCCTTTTTCAGATGCAGTCCAACAGAGTCGGAAAGGAAAGAAAGAGAAGTCACAATCCACGCGTGACGGAAGTCAGACTAAGAAACAAACACTTCCGGTTCGAAAAGACCCGACTTCCGAAAGCTTGACAGGCCACGCGGGGTTGTCTCCCATTGCTTCAAGCGGAACAACTTACACACCCAAGTCGAGTTCGAGTACCGGGCAGATATGGAAACTGCAGAATATAGAATATGAAATAAAGCAATATCCTGACAAAGGGAGTATACACTCTTTAGCCGACATTGATAGCAGGCTGGAGAATCTGTATGAGTGAGTATATCACAGAGTTATGTCCCTTTATGTCTCACCCAAACTACGTCGTAAAACAATGCAGTCCAATCCGTACTCGAGTTTCAGTCTCTCTATCCGTACAGAGTCGTTATGAAGTCCCGTTATCTCGAACATATGCTTGAGTTTTGCCGTGACCAAGTTTGCACAATCTCGAAATACAGCCCCGTTATGTCCAATCCATGATAGAATCTTTTTAGGTCAAACCTGTAGTCTTGTTCCGTTCTGCCTGTCTGAACACACCTCTCGGCGCACTTGTAGCAAGCGATCTTAGCGGTATGACTATCTTAAGTCTATGTTACAACATGGGATCTACAATCATCTGTAAGATAGCTTTGTGCAGAGTCTCGTTATATCGGGCCCTTGGCGTTGTCTAGTTATGTATTACCCTTAACAACTCGTAATATAGTCCCTACATGTCTGTCCCTCACTAGATAACCGTCATGTCTATCCTGCTGTGGATCCCCATTATGTTTATGCTGTACTTGAGGCTCGTTTTGTCTTACTTGTAATAACAACTTTATGTCTAACCCGTAGTAGACTAAAATTGAGTCTCTGAACTGATCACTAAATACAGTCTAAGACATACGCAGTTCTTAATTTATCTTAATAAGACATAACAAGAAGGAGCCCAGAGATTGTCTTTATTTTCTGAAAAAAAACCAATCAGCAGAGATGTAATTGGCATTATGTCCGTCACTGACATGCCATTGAAAGCGTATGTGACAGGAATATTTATTGGCCCAAACAGTGATACAGTGCTGCTTTTTATCGGAAGTCCTTTTCGGGGAAACGTCTGTATTTTTACTTGCTATATATACATTTTTTTCTTTTTTAGCCGGATGCACAACTTTGAAAACGAACTGTACACAACTGTTGACGCCATCCTAGAAATACTCGGCCATAAACCCAAAGTAACACGTGATCAGTTTGACTCATGCGCATCGCCTACTTCCGGTAAAGATAAGTCTGTTCGTCCCAAGGGAGTGAAGCTAATTCACTCCCCTAGCGACGGAGAGAAGAAGACGGGTTGAGAGGGAGACAGAGAGCTTGTGTTCAAGTGTTGAAATCCCAGAAACAAAACCACAAGTCAAACGGGAACACGTTCGTGAACGTGTTCGGGAAAATTCGTACGAGGATTCTGAAAAGTGCAGCTCGTTAGAGGTCGCTATTTTGAGATGACGTCACGGCCATGTTGAAAGATAACGAATGTCTTGCCCAGGAGGTTAATATGTCTGCTAGTGGTATTAGATGCACCATTTTGTTGCTGACTACGTCACACTGCTTGAGGAACCAAGTCTCGTAAACTCACGTCCACAACGTCACGTTATCACGACACTGCTTCCACTGCCGCTGGAGAATCGAATATGTCAAAGTTTGTTTCGTGTGAGGAGAACTGGTCATATTTTGTGAATATGCGTGCGTTAGGATGATATTATTTAATATGCTAGTTTTGGAATATTCATCACAGTATAATGTGTTTTCCTCATGGTGATGCTAGGTAGACTGTCAACGCTTTGTAAGCTGCTGTAGATGACATATGTCTCTTGTCTGTACAACAGCAACGTCGGAAGGTGGAATGGAGGCCGTCAAAGTCGTAATCATTATTTTCCTCATGGGGGTTTACTGTTTAGAATCGTTTCCCTGGCAACCGTGCTGGTAAGGGGCGACACATTGGGTCCTCCAGATTGGTTATCGGATGGTAACATGTTATTGTACCCGACAGCATGGGTCTTTGTTCATCATATCAACCACAAGGTCGTCAGATCGACCCTCGATTATGTTAAGACCGCCGTCTTATAGCTGGGATATTGCTGAGGATGGCTTTTAATAACTGAAATTCGTAACACAACATTTAAATTTCTCCCCGTGTTTATCAGTGTCTTCTGTTATCGCCAGTTTCTTCTGTGTAGAATGGGTGGGGTAGCTTAGTGGTGAAAGCGTTCGCTCGTCACGCCGAAACTCCGGGTTTGATTCTCCACATTGGTACACTGTGTGAAGTCCCCCGCCGTGGCATTGCTGAAATATTGCTGAAAGCGGTGTGAAAGTAAACTCACTCACCCCTGTGTAGAGTGAGTGAGTTAAGATTTAACGTCACATCGGCAATATTTCAGCCATATCGTGCACCCCTGTGTAGAATAACCATGGAGCATGATGACCTTGTCAAACTTCATAACATCGATGCATGTAATATGTTCAGAGGAAGCCACATTCACGTACAATGTTACGTTTAGTTACGCATAGTTACACATAGTTACGCATAGTGCGTAGTGTTAGGTTACGTGTGAACGGTATTCGTTGAATTCGAGGTTCATAGAACCCGTCATATGAGATTAGCTTTTGGTCGTCTTTCGAATGTGATTATGCTTTAGCGTATGTGTGTGCGCGTGTGCATGTGCGAGTGCGTGTGCATGACCGTGGTCGCTTGCGTAGCAGAAAAAGAAACAAGTTAGTAAGGTAAGCCAAGAGTCTATATGTTAATATATTTATGAGTGAGTGAGTGAGTGAGTTAAGATTTAAAGTCACATCGGCAATATTTCAGCCATATCGTGACTAAAGCAAGTTATAAATATATCAACAATTTAAGTGAAATTATAAAATTCTGCCGACGAAGGACAGTAAAATAACTAGATTATCACAGATATAGATATAAAACTAGTAACTAAATCTAAAACATTTGAACTATACAAGACGATACAATATAAAAAACAGGCTATTGATCACCAACAACTGAAGGTAGATCACCATACTAGGGACCATGGGGACTTACAGTACATTTGCTTCCTGCATGGACCCTAGCTGGATTTACACCATCCCTTCAGCCATTGGCGACAGAAGAGAAACCTAGCCATAAATTAAAAGTACACATATTCTACGATTAAAAACCTGGTACACTTAAATTGACTAAATGTTTTGGGACTAATATATTTATGAATATACATAAGGTTTGCATTATGTAGAGATGTTTCATGAACAATTGTTAATAGAACGAAAGCCCAGTTTGTGTAAACGCCACTCTTGAAATGAAACGTTACCATGGCAGGGTCATTGTAGTTGGAATTTTCAACTATGATTTAATGATTTTGAAAGTTTTAGGTAACAATACGAGAAGAATATTTCGAAGTTAACATTTATTATCATATTTATTATTTAATTAATTAATTTTGTTAGTTATGAATTAACATCTATTTGTTTATTATTCATTTATTGATTGTATTATGGTCTTCGATTATTCTAATGAGAGGAAAAAAAGAACCTTGACAAGACATATCAAGGTCATTTTATTGAGAGGCGGTTGGGTAACTTAATTATTCGTTATTCCGAAGGTCATTCGTTTGAAAGGGGGCGTTTAACGCTTACTAACGTTATACTTTCGCTGTAGTTTCACAAAGTCCGTTTTGGTTCTTTGTGAAGTATATGACTGTCTTCGTGATCGGGGGCCTGATACACAAAAACGTGCGTAGCACTATGCCAAGTCAAAAGCCAATGGCTTATCCTAAGCCAATGATAAAATATAGAGATACGATAGGTCGTAACGTTACGAACGCTTAGTGGATCGGGGTCCAATGAATATTTCTTATATTTCAATGATACTTCCGGACTGGGCCAAGACGATCTCCGACAGAACGTTTGGGCCAAGACGATCTCCGACAGAACATTCGGTACATACATTGAAACGAGCGTTACGTCGTATGTATTTTGAAGGCGGCGCTGTACGTCTACAAGAATAAATTTGTATATTAATGTAATATTTTTGTAAACCACTCATTATATCGTGTCGCATAGAATCGTATTACTGTATCTGGGTTGTTAAGTTTAGATATATAATAATAGTCCGGCTTATCCAAACGAAATATCATATGTTAGTGTTCAACTTTGAGTTAACCTGTTTTCTCTTATCGAAAGCACCACAAGTATCGACGTATGGCAATAAACATCGAAAGCTAACCTGTGATAGAGTTACGTTGCAATAAATATTTGTATCTTGTGTGTGGTGTTCTGTTTCTCTGAGCCGAGTGTCCGATTGAGAGGGAAAGGTCTTGAATGTGGCTGGAGAGGGATACATCCATAGCCGGCGGACGGGCGGTCATCGGCGAAGAACCAGAATTAATCCATCTATCGAAATACGCATACACGCATCCATCCGTCAATTGATCCATCAACCATCCATTGATCAATCCATCCTAACATACAGACAGACAGACAGACAGACAGACATGCATACATACATACAAACATACATACAGACACACACGTACATGCATGCACACACATACATAAATACATACCAACATACGTAAAAGCGTACGTACATATGTACAGACAGATAGACACACACACGTAATGCACGAACACACATACATAAATACATACCAACATACGCAAAAGCGTACGTACATATGTACAGACAGATAGACACACACACGTAATGCACGCACACACATACATAAATACATACCAACATACGTAAAGGCGTACGTACATATGTACAGACGGATAGACACACACACGTAATGCACGAACACACATACATAAATACATACCAACATACGCAAAAGCGTACGTACATATGTACAGACAGATAGACACACACACGTATTGCACGCACACACATACATAAATACATACCAACATACGTAAAGGCGTACGTACATATGTACAGACAGATAGACACACACACGTAATGCACGCACACACAGACATAAATACATACCAACATACGTAAATGCCAACATACGTAAAAATCTGCCTCAAATTCACTCGCAACATTCAGTGAATTACAATATAATTCTCTGCAGCTAAGGGGAATAGATTAATTCTCCTTCATCAAACACGATACAGGATTATACGACGAAATAACAGTGCATCCATGCAATAACGGCGAAAGGCAAAGCAATATGGCGACATTTGTACATAGATGATAGTCACCATCATCTTCAAGAATGCGCCAGACATCACCAGTTCACAATGGGACATGGTATGTGATCATTGTCATAGTATCAGGCGTCATCCTCCACATGATACATGATTCACATAGAGAGAATCCTCATTCTAATATTGGGGAAGGTAACATCGCTGGTTGTTAACGCAACGTCACGCACAACTCTGACCGTTTAAAACAATCACTGGTGTATCATGTGCTTAGCTGATTGGCTAATGACGTTCCCTTAACCCATGGAGCGTTTTGTAGCCTAGTGGTTAAATCTAAAGCGTTCGCTCGTCACGCCGAAGACCCGGGTTCTATTCCCCACATGGGTACAATGTGTGAAGCCCATTCCTGGTGACCCCCGCCGTGATATTGCTGAATATTGCTAACATCGGAGTAAAACTAAACTTACTCACCCACTCACCTTTAATTCACAAAAGCTTCTTACTTGAATCCATGTACTCAATAGCTGTACAATCAATTTCATTGCAAGCAATTCACTGAGCTCAATGTCCGTATCTTCAGGTAAAGCCTAATTATACCAAGTATACTGATAAACATATAAAATTATACATCACACCTTCAAACACGTAACAGTGCGACCGCCTCCGTGGTGTAGTGGTTAGAGCGTCCGCCCGGAAAGCGGAAGGTCGCGGGTTCGATCCCCGACCGCGTCATACCAAAAGACGTTAAAATATAGTACTTATTGGTCCCTGCCTGGCGCTCGGCATTAATGGGTAAAACAAGGACTGGTCGGCTCGGAGTCAGTATAATGTGTCTGAGTGGGGTATTCATGCTTCACTGCGGTATGGTATCTCAGTGGGCTAGCACTATAAAACCAGCTTCAGTCTGGGCTAGTACAAGCAGCCACACATACACATACACACGCATGCACGTCGTCATATGAGCGAAATATTCTCAAGCATTTTTTTTCAATAATTCTTTTTTGAGAAATATATATATCTACATACTGTATTCCTGAAGGTCAGAATACATTGCACAATTCACTGAAACTGTAAACAGAAGGTTCTCTATCGTTGTCGAGGGGACATTTTTCCTGACGGCAACCTTCCAATTTTTTGTTTGATTCTTCGTTGTTTCACGACGCACTCAGCACTATACCAGCTATGAGACTACTGTCCGGACATATTCCACTCTGGACCAGACAATCCAGTGATCAACACCATGAGCATCGATCTACGCAACTGGGATACGATGACATGTGTCAACCAAGTCAGCGAGTCTGATCATCCGATCCCGTTAGTCGCCTTTTACAAGCATGGGATATTCAGGATCATTTCTAACTCCGATCTTTATGGTACAAATCAATTCGGAATTGTGCATGAAATCAGACAGATAAATTGTTACACATCCCTACAGTCTTCAGCCATCCCCCGTAGTTCAACGTGGTAATGTCCGTGGTGACAGGAACGGTCGGTAGAGGCTTCATGTTCAATTCAAAATCAATTTATTCCTAATATAAACCTTTTTATTTCTGAATTCATATCTAGAACCCAAAACACAAATTTACAGGAATGGCATTCCTCGTTGTCTAGTGGCTCAAAAACTTATCTATATTCTCAATTTAAATTTATTTTTGGTGTTGAGCCATATCTCCATTGCATAACTATCAAGAAATTTCGTATTGCCTTAGCGAGGTTCAGGTGTAGTTCACACCAACTGAATATAGAAACTGTTAGATATATAAAGAAACCAAAAAACTCAAGATTGTGTGAAATGTGTTCCTGTAACTATGTAGAAAATGAGCACCACTTTTTACTGATTTGTACTGCCTATGATGATCTACGTAAACGTTTTATCCCTGTCGATGTTTTCCCCCATTCAACCATGTGTAAATTTAATTGACTGATGAGTAATGCTAATCCTCTTGTGTTAAGAAATCTTGCCATGTTTATGTTCTATGCTAACAATCGTCGTCTCGGTTATCTCCCATTTGACAGACACCCATTTGACAGACTCCCAATTGGCAGACACTCAACTAGAAGGTTAATTAGGGTAACACCTACGGGTATAATGGAACAGTCCACTGTCCAGTGAGTAGAGCAGGGTGAGCCTGAAGCAGGCTTGTTACTGAGAAGTTTGATTGTGGGTAAATAGAACTTTGTTGTGATTTAATGAGAAAACGTTTTGTTGGAGAGATATAGATATGTACATATTTGAAAACATTCTGATTTGCAGTAAATGAGACACCTGCATTGCCATGTAAGATACGATTAATACAAATCAGTTTTCTAATTTTAACAATACTTTCTAAAAATTGTAACAGTTTATGTCTTTGAGTAGTATTCAATGGACATTCAAGGACGTAATGAAAAACATTCTCACATCCATGGCCACGTTGACATGATGCGTCATATTTTAAATATTTATTCTAAGTAACTTGTAATTAAGTGCACTCGTCATATATCTGAATACTGTGTGCAAAACATATTACTTCTTTATTCCATATGAATAATATTTAGGTTCACATTTGTCTTTATTTGATTTATATGATACAACAGTGTCGCAATTTCTAATAGATAAGCTAATGTTTTCAATATGATGATGCCAACTCCCGTTAGACTAGAAATGTTATGTCTTTTCATCCATCTTTCAAATAAATAATATAGCTTCAGTTTGTTCCTGTGTTTTTATTTGGACTATTCCATTATAATGTGTAGGTAACAGGTAGTAGATAATCTGTTCACTGAACCGAAAATGTTGTTGTTTTAAGGTGTCCGCGAACTGGCTGTCTGCGTAATGGGAGGATACCGTCGTCTCTACAGCCTGAAGGATGCCAATGTATAACGTTGTACCATGGGCCGATGGCCTACACCCTCATGACTAAAGACTTGACTTGACATGTTCCTATTGTTTCTGAAAATCTCATTTACTGGTCGTCAAAGTGAACGTGTAGCTTTAAATAGTACACACTGACGTCACTATGCGTGTATGTTTCATGCGTGACACAAAAGCTCGTCAATACTCCTATGTTGACTCGATCCGTCTTGAACGCTTAAACAACATATTTGTTTCATTTTTTAAAAACACATCGGAATAATGGTCTGTTGTATCTCTTACCCTTACAGCCTCAAACACTCGGCTTTGAATAAGAAAACCGGATACATATAGGTCGTAAAGAGCGTGCAGGTCTCATTGTGTGGAGCTTTGTAAAGGCGATATTATTTTGTTAAGTTAGTCTGTGCGTCTAGAGTGCGCTCTTGCATAACATTAATGTATGGCCAACGCTTCACAATCTGGGTCAGCTGCATACCTCTGACAATCTGACAATGTTTGAGGTGTTGTTACGCCTACAGATCAGTACGGAGGAGTGAGACATCAAGCTGATGTTATAGGTCTTGTCTGGACCCCACCGGACCTGTCTGTGCTTTATTACGTGTTCAGCTCAGCCCGGAGGAGTGAGTGTAAAGCTCCTGTTATAGGACTTGTCTGGACCCCACAGGACCTGTCCGTGCGTTGTTCAGATCAGCGGAGGAGTGAGGCATCAAGCTGATGTTATAGGTCTTGTCTGGACCCCACAGGACCTGTCTGTGCTTTGTTACGTGTTCAGGTCAGCTCGGAGGAGTGAGTGTCAAGCTGCTGTTATAGCTTGTCTGGACCCCACAGGACCTGTCCGTGCGTTGTTACGCCTTCAGATCAGTACGGAGGAGTGAGGCATCAAGCTGATGTTATAGGTCTTGTCTGGACCCCACAGGACCTGTCCGTGCGTTGTTACGCCTTCAGATCAGTACGGAGGAGTGAGGCATCAAGCTGATGTTATAGGTCTTGTCTGGACCCCACAGGAACTGTCTGTGCGTTGTTAGGTGTTCAGCTCAGCGCGGAGGAGTGAGCCAATGATTGGATTTTGTAGGACCTGACTGGATCTTACAAGACCTGACTGCATCTTTCAAGACCTGACTTGACGATACAAGAAGTGACTGTGGATGATACAGCACCAGACTGTGGCCTTTCTAATGCCTGTATCACACAGGATCTGACTGTGGATCTCACAGGATCTGACTGTTGATCCTTGGAAACCTGACTGCTGATCTCAGAAGATCTGGCTATATCATGCAATATATGACAGGATCATACACCTTATAGTGTCCCTCACGAACTCTGGCTGGTTGAATCCAACAAGATCTCACAGGATTTGATTGTTAGTCTTACAAGGTTGGACATAGCAACACCTGACTGGACATAGCAACACCTGACTGGACATAGCAACACCTGACTGGACATAGCAACACCTCACTGGACATAGCAACACCTGACTGGACATAGCAACACCTCACTGGACATAGCAACACCTGACTGGACATAGCAACAACTCACTGGACATAGCAACACCTCACTGGACATAGCAACACCTCACTGGACATGGACATAGCAACACCTGACTGGACATAGCAACACCTCACTGGACTGGACATAGCAACACCTGACTGGACATAGCAACACCTCACTGGACATAGCAACACCTCACTGGACATAGCAACACCTGACTGGACATAGCAACACCTCACTGGACATAGCAACACCTCACTGGACATAGCAACACCTCACTGGACATAGCAACACCTCACTGGACATAGCAACACCTCACTGGACATTACAACACCTCACTGGACATAGCAACACCTCACTGGACATAGCAACACCTCACTGGACATAGCAACACCTCACTGGACATAGCAACACCTCACTGGACATAGCAACACCTCACTGGACATAGCAACACCTCACTGGACATAGCAACACCTCACTGACATAGACACTGGACGCCGCAACACCTCACTGGACATAGCAACACCTCACTGACATAGCAACACCTCACTGGACATAGCAACACCTCACTGGACATAGCAACACCTCACTGGACATAGCAACACCTCACTGGACATAGCAACACCTCACTGGACATAGCAACACCTCACTGGACATAGCAACACCTCACTGGACATAGCAACACACTGGACATAGCAACACCACTGGACATAGCAACACCTCACTGGACATAGCAACACCTCACTGGACATAGCAACACCTGACTGGACATAGCAACACCTCACTGGACATAGCAACCACTGGACTAGCAACACTGACTGGACATAGCAACACACTCACTGGACATAGCACTGGACATAGCAACACCTGACCTCACTGGGACATAGCAACACCTGACTGGACATAGCAACACCTGACTGGACATACACCTCACTGGACATAGCAACACCTGACTGGAGCAACACCTCACTGGACATTACACTGGACATAGCAACATGGACATCTAGCAACACCTCACTGGACATTACAATATCTGACTAGACCTTACAATATCTGTCTGGATTTTACAGAACCGCTGCCTGAATCATACAAGACCTTACCGTGGATCGTGCAACATCTGACTTTGGATCTCACAGGACCTGAGTGTGGATTGTACATGCTCTGACCGTGGATCTTACAGGACCTGACTGTGGATCTTACAACACCTGACTGTATGTCTAACAACATGACCGGGTATGATGTCGAGGATCCGGAGACGTCAGACTATGATAAGTAAGATATTTTATTTTCAACCTAATATCATTTCAATTTATTCTTGTGTTTCATTGATTGTACGTATCAGTCGGAAGTGAAATAATAAAATGTTTTCTCAGTTTTATCAACCGCTGTGAAAATATTATGCCCTGATGTGATAAATATATTCTTTCTTTTGTTAAATGTCGATTTCCAAGCGGAAAGTGATCGTTAGCCGGGAATCAATACGTTATAAAACCAGATGTAAACCAACAAACAACATGAGATTGAATGTAATTGACAATTGTACATAAAATGAAACAAATTAAATTAGAAACAAATCACTGCGAGGGTGTCACAGAACAACAGGACACAACAGAGTGGCAGTACACAACAGAGTGGCGGTACACAACAAAGCGGCAGTACACAACAGCGCATCAGTACACAACAGAGGGGCAGTACACAACAGAGCGGCAGTACACAACAGAGCGGCAGTACACAACAGCGCATCAGTACACAACAGAGGGGCAGTACACAACAGAGCGGCAGTACACAACAGAGCAGCAGTACACAACAGAGCGACAGTACACAACAGAACAAAGTACACAACAGAGCGGCAGTACACAACAGAACAACAGTACACAACAGAGAGACAGTACACAACAGAACGACAGTACACAACAGAGCGACAGTACACAACAGAACAAAGTACACAACAGAGCTGCAGTACACAACAGAACAACAGTACACAACAGAGAGACAGTACACAACAGAACGACAGTACACAGCAGAACAAAGTACACAACAGAGCGGCAGTACACAACAGAACAACAGTAAACAACAGAGCGGCAGGACACAACAGAGCAGCAGTACACAACAGAGCGGCAGTACACAACAGAGAGACAGTATACAACAGAGAGACAGTACACAACAGAACAAAGTACACAACAGAGCGGCAGTACACAACAGAACAACAGTACACAACAGAGAGACAGTACACAACAGAACGACAGTACACAACAGAGCGGCAGTACACAACAGAGCGGCAGTACACATCAGAGGGGCAGTACACAACAGAACAACAGTACACAACAGAGCGGCAGTACACTTTTAAGGGCAGTGTAATATACAGGCTTTGATTATAGCAATAAAGTGAGTGAGTTTAATTTTACGCCACTTGACCTTACCAAGTTGTACAATTTCAAAATTTGAGGTCAGAGGAAAGAAACACATTAAAATGCATATTGATGTTAATGTCCGTAACAAGAGTCAATTTCAACGTGTACAAAAGGACATTACTTGACGAGGGTTTGTATTTAATCGAGTCATGACCAGAAAACTAGTGACTGATATTATGAACAAAGTTGCAAGCTGTTAGCATACGATGATATGTATCATGTCGGGTAATGTGCAGAATTAGGGTGCATAAGTGGGTGGATAGTTGGGTGGGTTAGTGAGTGAGTGAGTTTAGTTTTACGCCGCACTCAGCAATATTCCAGCTTTATGGCGGCGGTCTGTAAATAATCGAGTCTGGACCAGACAACCCAGTGATCAACAGCATGAGCATCGATCAGAGCAATTGGGAACCGATGACATGTGTTAACCAAGCCAGCGAGCCTGACCACCCGATCCCGTTAGTCGCCTCTTACGACCAACATGGGTTACTGAAGGTTCATTCTAACCCGGATCTTCACGGGTTGGGTGGGTTAGTAGTTAGGTAGTTAGGTTGTTAGGTAGTTAGATAGGTAGTTAGGTAGTTAGGTAGTTAGGTAGTTAGGTAGTTAGGTAGGTATGTATGTAGGTAGGTAGGTAGGTAGGTAGGTAGCGTATTGCTGGTGTCCCTCATCGTGACATTGCTGAAATCTTGCTATAACGGCATAAAACAATACTCACTCCAACCCCGACAGGAGAGTTTCGCTTATACGACACAGTTGCTGCGTGTCAGTATAAACCAATCTATATCATCTACATAATATGAAGCTGACGTTTTGTTAAACCAACAATTACACCCCATACAGACCCGGATTAGAATCAGACCCCAGCATACCAGGGCCTGTTGTACGAGACGACGAAATCGTGTCAGGTTGTAGCGTTCGCTAGCTGGTAGTATTGCCATGATAATGTTCGCATTCACCCAGAGATGAGATGAAAGGAGAAGCTGCGTGTCGCGCTCAGCGTGTCACGGGGTTCAAGGTCAAGCTTTGTATACTATTCATACGCATGATGCTATGGAATCCTAGAAGGGACATTGTCACGTTGTCGCATTGTGGCCCATAAAAAAGTGGCAAAAAAGCCCCAAACGCGACAATACGGCATAGCGACATAGCGACAAATGGCCAGTATGTCGCATTGACGCTCATCTGTTCATTTTGACAACGCGACAATGTTGCTTTTAGGATTCCATATGATGCAGTCCAAACACACAGTTTTATCCCCAGATTTTAAAGATGTAACTAGACCGCTGACATGTTTTTGTAGTGCACAAAAACGAAATATAATGTGCATACAAAAATACATGCTATTCATCATCTGTAAATGTAAGTGAGTGAATTCCGTTTAACGCCGTGCTTTATTTGTATTGAAATTCTATAATCGTGTTTATTGCGAGGAAAGTTCGTTTTAACTCAGGTCCTTGACGTCAAGCGTTTAATCGGTGAAATCTATGAAACATCGGTGCTGAAAAGACAAGAAACATGACCGGGGCTAAACGGGTTTTGAAACTGCGACGAGATGGTTCTGTAGTGGCCAAGGGACGTAACTGACATTCAACTCGAATTGCCGCGCCTAAGACAACAGAACGCAAGAGGCGACATGGATATGAGATTTCTGAATGGTTTAAGGAGTGTCAGTCGTCATATGTTCAACGTCTGAAGTCTGTCATTCAGGTTGAGATATATTTACCTTCATGTGACAATGTACACTTTCAAACGGGTACCTTCATGTGGCAATTTACACTTTCAAACGGGTACCTTCATGTGACAATTTACACTTTCAAACGGGTACCTTCATGTGGCAATGTACACTTTCAGACAGGTCTGTCCATGTGACAATTTACACTTTCAAACGGGTACCTTCATATGACAATTTACACTTTCAGACGGGTACCTCCATGTGACAATTAACACTTTCAGACGGGTACTTCCTTATGACAATTTACACTTTCAGACGGGTACCGCCTTGTAAAATTTACACTTTCAGACGGTGTCCTCCCATTTGTGAGAACTCCCAGTTGTGAGACACATTAAATAATGGTTCAGTGCACATAGGTGGTGTTTCCACATCCCTACAATGAAAGTGGGATCAGCCCAGCCCAGTACCCACAGGAGGCATAGTTCATTGATAAGTTGATTAATGGAATAGATTATCAAAGATTATATTTACACAGAAGAAATAGTTCATTGAATATTTTATTTATTCAGAAGAATATGTAATTATGATAACACATTTTTATTGACTATTATGAAGGTTGAAAGTCATTTTGGGTTAAACATATTTTAATATATATGAAAATGAATTGGGATGGGTGAACAAGCATTACTGCTTATGTTAACACCGCTCCCATGCAACATAAAATACAAAATTAAATGGAGGATGTGACGTCATCGATATTGACTTTTGCATAAATATATTTTTAAGTACATATAAATATATACAGATTACATCAAATGCAACTATTCTCTAAGTAATCATAATTAGAGACTTACAGTTGTGTGTGTCTAACAAGCTGTAGTTTCGGAGACGGAGTAAATCTGAGTAGGTAAATCAATTAATCTTTCAAATGATCACGAAGTTACCTGCACAAAGTATTATTTTTTAAAGATATTTACCTGAGTATGTTAATCAATTTATCTTATAAAGTTTCATTTAGTTACCTCCACACGATTCATTTACATCGCAAATCAGTAATTAGCTAGGGTTAATCAATTCTATCAGACAGGACACTATGGAGTGTTTTCTTTGTTAATTACCTAGTCCACTGTCTCATAACTGGGAGTCTCACAATTGGGAGTTCTCACAAATGGGAGTAGACCTTTCAGACGGGTATACAATGTCCTTTGTGTATACTACTAGCTTCTTTTCTTAAGCCACGGTGGCTGAAAGGGTTACTCTGAGACTTGTGCACTGTTGTTTAGGTGCGTCATTCTGAGAGGTTTGGTTCGAATCCCGGATGGATTTCCACCTCGCAAATTACTAAAGTTTGTACTTAACCAAGAAATCGATATCCTAAATATAGTATCAGTTAACAGTGATAAGAATGCCAATGAAATAGCAGAATTCGTTCTCTGTTGATGCTTATGAAAAGGATGTGCAGCATTTCGTATATTGCTTCATTAGTAATCTTTAGATACGTTTTGATCTCATAGGGGTGGTGGGGTAGCCTAGTGGTTAAAGCGTTCGCTCGTCACGCCGAAGACCCGGGTTGGATTGCCCACATGGGTACAATGTGTGAAACCCATTTCTGGTGTCCCACGCAGTGATATTTCTGGAATATTGGTAAAAAGCTGCGTAAAACTAAACTCACTCACTCACTCACTCACTCTCATAGTAGTCCTTAATCTTTGCATGCGGAGAATACCAGATTCAGTTTCAAACACCCCTTTGATAAAGGATGAAGGGTTTCCTTACGCTTGAAGAGTAAAACATATCTATTACGACCAGTTCTAACCCCAAATCACCTTTGAATCACAAGTTAGAAAGTGATTGTGGAAAAATTCAAGTCGAATAGCGCATCCAGCAACAGCTTAGTGCCATACGGCTGTATTTGCTGTAGTAGCTGCTACTAATGCCCCTTCAGAAGAAGATCGATTACAAGTTGCTTGTAACAGATGTTATCATCACAACCCACCGGGTACCCATCCATTGCTGAATGAAAGAGATGTGAGAAATGTTACCATCTCATCATACAGGGTACCCACCAATTGCTGGGTAAATAGGATGTGAGAGATGTTATCATTTTATCCCATCGGGTACCCACCCATTTCTGGGTGAAGAGGATGTAATGTAATTAGGATTTGTCGTGTTTCAGGAAAGCAAGGAGCCCCCTCGTGTACGCCATCCTCGCTAGTTCGCTACTCCTTTCCCTTGGACTGGCGCTTGGTCTGGGACTCGGCCTGGGGTCGCTGAAAGCTTTTCTGAAACCGTTACCCGAGGTTGTCGCCTCAACAACGCCAGAAACACCAACGGTGGAGACGGAGAGGTCGAGGCAAGGGGCGTACAGATTTGCCTCCGTCGCATCTGATATAAAGACATGCTCCGAAATTGGAACGTAAGTATGAAAATTAATGTGGAGGTGTTGGTTGTGTGTTAGAAACAGCTGCACCGGTACTAGTTGTTTGTTTTGTTGTTTAACGCCGCACTCAGCAATATTCCAGTTATATCGCCTATAAATAATCGAATCTGGACCAGTGATCAACGCCATGAACGTCGACCTATAATTGGGATACGATGCCATGCCTCAACCAATCCCGATCCTACTACTACTACTACTACTACTACTACTGCTACTACTACTACTAAGGACTAGTTTAGTAGGGATGATGATTAACATTGTTGAAAACATATTCTGACGCATTTATTCTCAGCCACACTTCCTAATGTATATTTCTAAGTGATGTTTTGAAGTAAATTAACAGTAAAATGTGTCTGTTTAGTGTAAATCAACTTCATTAAATGTCCTGACATTTAAAAATCTGGGATGTTTTTCTCTCATGAATATGAAATCACAACACTATATATCTGTCCAAAAGATAGGACACGTTTGTACATACAAGAACAATCACGGGTGTCCTGTTTGGCTTTATTAATTTTTACAATTACTGCATTCTGTCCGCATATAATTATCTTTAATATGTAAGATTATTTTTCCGGCTACCTGATTGGTCTAGAGGCGGTCACGTGACCGTCGACAGAAAAGCATACATGTATTGACTCCAACCCAGGTCCGACCAAAAGTCATATTGACTTGAGTTACTATGACGACAAGCTATGACGCCATTCTATTGTTTACGTCACAGTATTGTTGACATAACGCTATTGGTTTGTAGTGAAAATAAAATTACTTTTCTTGACAAAATGGACATGTTGTGGTTTTTAGAAGCTTTTTTCGGTAATTACATATAAAACAATTATGGACTGGTGAATTCGGTCAAAACCTGTTTCTATGGACCCGTGAAAAGCAATATTGACCGAGGACGATGAACACAGGTACTTATGACCTCATCAACAGTCTGTAATTGTATATTATTGTTTTAATCAACAAAATTACATTAAATATAACCTCTTTCTGAATTATGATCCTCATATTGCGGATTAATAGGGTAGTGTTATATATTCCTACGCATACGGAATGAACCACAATCCCGTTATTACGAACTCCGACATTTAATATTTCCCTAATAAACATTCATTAACGATCATATACATATGATAAATTTGTAAACATGAAGGTTTATTGAGTGGGAAATGAATTACGCATATAAATTCGTGTTTTATAGACAAGCGTTTAATATAATAAATGTATTTGACAGGGATCAGAAAAACAAGGCTATATGCGGGGACAGCTCCAAGATCTCTATTTCTGATAATCATTTTTCAGGATCCTTTTTATTTTGGTATGGTATCATCAGTGTTCATTACTGTGTCAAATAAAATGTCATCTATTTTTTAGTATTCGTGGAACTACGATTGCCGTTGTCTCCACCATAAGGAGGACAAAGTAACGCTATTATTTATATCCGTCAGAGAGGGTTTGAGACCAATTTTATCAAAGGATAAACATGTTTATACATTTTCTGTTAATTTGGCTAATTTAACAATAATCGCGAACAGTTGGAGGGAAGATGTAAACCCGGTGGGAACCATGCAGTGGCAATGGTACTGTAGTGAATGAGTATTGCATTACGCCGCTTTTAGCAATATTCCTGCAATATCACTGCGAGGGACACCTGAAATGGGTTTCACACATTGTGCCCACTAGGCTAATCGAACCCGGGTCTTCGAGCAAAAGCTTAACCACTGGGCTACCCCCCGTCCCCAAAGGTCCTGTAAGTCCCCATGGTCAGCTTTAAGGTGTTCAATAATCAAGTATTGGCGATCAGTAGTCTGTTTCTTCAAGCACCGTTAAATAATATGATATTGTTTAATGGCTTCACACTAGTTGGAAACACAATCTGTGATAATGAAGATTGCTGTCATTTGACGATAGGAGATTATATCCATCTATCAATATACATCTATCAATATTTAATGTATAATTGTCAAGTTATGTCTGATATACTGCTGATGAGACTCTAAACCTTCACCCACGTACTCGTTGAACTGTTAGGAATATTAAAATTACTAATGGTTGTCGGTAATGTTAACATGACCTCAATGCATTATCTATTTTAGATTTGTGAAAAATATAACTCTTGAATTGTCTCAAAATGTTCATACAAGTATAATTTTGGGGGATCATAAAGTTTGTCCTTAATAAACTGTATATAATTTCGACCTATAATAACTTACAGAATAGACAAATATGTTACATTACGGTTACAGTATGCATTAACAGGGATTTAAAAATTTAAGGATATAGCTTTTATAGAATGGCTGATATCCTAAACTATCGAGTTCATACAGACCCATGTTAATGATTCATTGTCCGAGGTGTTTGTCCTGTGAACTGAACTTTAACATGGAAACAAACTATGAATAACACGACCAGCATCAGACTAAGATATCTTCACTGAACAGAAATATCAGCCCCGTATTTGAGATATTTGTCGCATTATTATATCATGTATTTTACCTCGTAGCTATTTCGACCCGTGAAGATCCGGGTTAGAATTGATCTTCAGGAACCCATGCTTGTCGCAAGAGGCGACTAACGGGATCGGGTGGTCAGGCTTGCTGACTGGGTTGACACATGTCATCGTACCCTAATTGCGTCGATTGATGCTCATGCCTGTGATGGGATTGTCGGGTTCAAACTCGATTATTTACAGACCGCCACCATATAGCTGGAATATTACTGAGTGAGGCGTAAAACTAACTCACTAACTCGTAGTTATTTTATTTATCATGTTTCAATTCTTAGTACCTGGCCAAATGCATATTATTCTGTATAAGCTCTATCTCTGTTTACTTATGTTATACTTCCTTGTCCACTATCTGTCATCTTTATTTGCGGGAATCTAAATTACCTATGTGCATACCAAGGAGAGGGTATTCTAAGCTGGAGAACTTGTTCCTAATCCTTTTCTGTGTGAATAATATATCTTTAAAACAAAATGCATATAACACTAAAATATATTTGGAAAGACAAATAGTTCGTCAGAGAAAACACACATTTGGAAACATGGCAAACGCTCGTGTGTTGACACGAGTCCCTGGGGAGCATACAACTGGGGAGCATAATAGTGTTATTATATTATTATATTAGTAGTAGTAGAGTGGTAGTGGTGAGTGAGTTAAATCTTAACGTCTCCTCGGCAATATTTCAGCCATATAGTGACGAGAAAAGGTTTACATACACACTAGCCCGGTTTGGCTCAAAACGGACCGATGAATTGCAATCTAATTAGAAAACTAATAAGCATAAAATACTCAATGAAACGCTGATCATAATCAAAACATCATACCCACTCTGTGAGGTTTTTGCAGAATTTTTGTCCTAAAAATAATAAAGATGTTTACCAAACTATCATTAAAATATTGACACAGTTTACTATTTGTTACGAGGGAGGAGTGCAGAGAAAGGGAAAGCCGGGTGTTCGGGAAGCACGTTCACAGACAAAGTTATTTACACATTAACCTGTGCTGTGCCGTCTCCATCCGTTCTCGAACACCTGGCTGTCCATTTTCTGCACTCCTCCCTCGTAACAAATAGTAAACTGTGTCAATATTTTAATGATAGTTTGTTAAACAACATTTTTCTTTTTAGGACAACAATTCTGCTAAAACCTCACAGAGTGGGTATGATGTTTGATTATGATCGAGTTAGAGCGTTTCTATTAAATACAAGTAGTTTTGACTGCTTATATAATATTTCGAGTTAGATTTCAGTAAAATGGTTTGTTTTTAAATTTGAATTATTTATCAAACGAAACGGACTATAAATACAAGTAGTTAAATGAAAACCTGACTGACTTTAAAAGCAATATCAATATTTCAGTAATTCAAATGATTTCAGTAAATATGTATAATTTTGTTTCTTAAATTTCAGGAATTATTTATCATTACTGAAAATTTCAGTAAGTACACATAATTTCGTGTGTAATCAAGATGTGCGGATCTGATTGTCAGTTCGTACATATGGTGTTCGTGTGTAATGAAGACGTGCGGATCTGATTGTCAGTTCACACATATGGTGTTCGTGTGTAATCAAGACGTGCGGATCTGATTGTCAGTTCACACATATGGTGTTCATGTGTAATCAAGACGTGCGGATCTGACTGTCAGTTCACACATATGGTGTTCATGTGTAATCAAGACGTGCGGATCTGACTGTCAGTTCACACATATGGTGTTCGTGTGTAATGAAGACATGCGGATCTGATTGTCAGTTCACACATATGATGTTCATGTGTAATCAAGACGTGCGGATCTGACTGTCGGTTCTTGCATACTGTGTTCGTGTGTAATCATGACTTGTGTGGATGTGACTGTCAGATTATGTCAGTGTGTTGTCATGTCTTTAGTGGATATGACAATTCAATCATTTCACTGTATTCTAAAGTCATATATTTCAGGAACATCCTTGCAAGGGGCGGATCAGCCGTGGATGCTGCCCTGGCAACCGTAATCTGCGTCGGTGTCTCCAACCCCATTAACTGCGGCATCGGTGGAGGTTTCTTTATGACCATATATGACAGGTAGACCCTGATTTGCATATTCATTATATTCCAATTCATTACACACATTAACCGCCACTCCGACTCATCCACATCTGATGACTTTTGGATATTCACCATGATAATATTTTGACGATCTCAGCGATAAAACAAATTTGAGAAACGGGCCTTAAGACCAGATCCGTCGATCAGATCCGGGCATTGGTTGACAATGATCGTTACTACTCACATCAACCATTGCTTTCTGGGAGAGGAGAAAATCCAGCAAACAACCCTAAACCTGAAACAACAAATGTAAACTATTACCAATTTTACGTTTAGAACCGGGGCGGTGGGGCAGCAGGCCTAACACCCGGGTTCGATTCCTCACATGGGTACAATGTGTGAAGACCATTTCTGGTGTCCCCCCGTCGTGATATTGTTGGAATATTGCTAAAAGCGGCGTAAAACCATACTCACTCACGTTTACAACCACATCAAAATGTCACGATGTGTCAGTCAGGTGCGGTCGAAAGCCTAACCGTATAATTACACACAAGATATCCAAACTATTATCAATTTTATCTGAAAATCAAAATGTTCCTCACCAGGGCTACCGGCAAGGCATATGCTCTGGATGCTCGTGAGACGGCGCCAAATGCCGCCAACAGCAGCCTGTTCGTTGATAGGGAGAGTGAGGCTTCAACCGTCGGTGAGTACACAATACTACAAATCATAATATTATATGGGTATTTATATCGGGCTATAGTCCATCCCACATGCATGCTCAAAGTGCTTCTTTGTTTTCCCTCGATCTTTGAATGTCAATCTCAGCGGCACATCATATTATCAATTTCAACTCCCTGGGGATCATACAACTCTTGCTGCCACTCGGCGCACTGAGTTAATGTGACTTTCCCATCCTTTCGAGATACCCATTGACAGCTGGGCGGACTGGGACACATTGTCACAGTACTTTGTCCAAGTTCACTGCACGTTACTGTACCCGGAACTAGGTGTTTGCACGCATTCATGTGGCCACCATCTGGTGATATACCAACGGATTCGTGGGTTCCTTTAAGTGCACAGGTTTGTGTACTGTACACTAGGGGTTATGACAGCTCTGCAAGAGTCTGCTCACAAAGTTGACTCCAGGCATTTACGTTACATCCACATGTTATTATTTATAACACGTCACAATTTAATTTTGGAAACACCAAACACCAGAAAGTCTCCGCACTGTGGCCACTTTCTGACAGAGGATTTGACAAAATTAATAAAAAAGTCATACTTTTATCATAGATCTATGCTGTAAATGATTTGGTCACTATCTCTTTTATCTTGGCGGTGGAGCGATGGTGGGGTAGCCTAACACCATAAACAAAATACTTTAAAAACCCACTACGACATCTGTATTCAATACCAGTACCAATATTCATGCTTGTTTTGGGTCGGCAGGGTAGTCTAATGGTTAAAGCGTTCGCTCGTCACGCTGAAGACCCGGGTTCGAGACCGCCTCCGTGGTGTAGTGGTTGGAGCGTCCGCCCGGAGTGCGGGAGGTCGCGGGTTCGATCCCCGACCGTGTCATACCAAAAGACGTTAAAATATGGTACTTGTTGGTCCCTACCTGGCGCTCGGCATTAATTGGTACAACAAGGACTGGTCAGCTCGGAGTCAGTATAATGTGTCTGAGTGGGGTATTCATGCTGCACTGCGGCATGGTATCTCAGTGGGCTAGCACTATAAAACAAGCTTAAGTCTGGGCTATTACAAGCAGCCGCACATACACATACACACGCATGCACGTCGTCATATGAGCGAAGTATTCTCAAGCACGACGTTAAAATCCAATTCCACCACCACCACCCGGGTTCGATTGTCCACATGGGTACAATGCGTGAAGGACATTATTGATATTGCTGGATTATCACTAAAAGCGGCGTAAACTAAGCTCATTCACTTCATCGGGGTGGTTAGAGACAACGACGGACTTCATAGATCCATTTATTCCTGTGAGGATGATGCCCTTTACAATCTGGGTCACGCTATATGCTCCTGTTTAGGAGATACATTATACTACCGACGACATATACACCAGAAGCCTGCCCGGTACAGAGCTCTCGTTTAATATAGCATCGGGGCCTCATCTCTGAAACCGGTCTTTCAACTTTGGAAGATTGTGACTATCCGTTAACGCTCTTGGGTTCAGATCTCGCGGTAAGAATGGGACCCGTTACTATGGAAACGGCCAGCCTGGAGCTTCATTTACATGCCACGAACATGTTTTATTGTGTGTTATTTATCACACTCAGCAATATTCCAGCTATATGACAGCGGTCTGTAAATACTGAAGTCAGACATTCCAGTGATCAACATCATGAGCATCGACCTACGTAGTTGTTATTCAATGACATGTGTCAACCAAGTCAGCCGGACCACCCAGTACCGTTAGTCGCCTCTTGGCTACAATTCTAACCCGAATCTTCACGAGTAGACACAAACATGTAAAATACACAGGTTTCTGAGCCTTCCCTCTGTTGTCTACAAGCATAGATCGTGCCGTCGGTAATTCGTACAGCCAGGCCTGCTTTCTTTAGTCGATTCACACCGATCCAAAACACTCGTATATTACAACGCTGCATAAAACGAGACCAAGCTCTGCCTTGCGTGAAGAAGACATGTTGACAGGAAAGTATGGAATCCTAAAAGGGACATTGTCGCGTTGTCGCGCTTTAGTTAATTGTGCTTCTTTTTGCTTTTCTATGAAGGCGACAACATGACAGTGCGACAACGCGACAATGTCCCTTCCAGGATTCCATATGAAAGAGCATTTGAGTTAGTGAGCTGAGTTGGATGTCTCCGTGTACAATGTTTGACATTTATCAGGGTGTCATCGCAGCTTGTTTTTCTTACCATGTAGACGCCGAGACACAAGCATAGCACAAGGAACTAACTGCTGCGTACGTTTTTTTGAAAACGTAAACAAAATGTTTTATGATTGCCAGTGCAAGTGTTTTGCTTCAGACAGACAATGGCTGAGAAACTATTCAAATGCAACATAGGACAGCAAGACCGACCCTTCTAATTTTATTGCCAACCCCCCAAATGTTTTAATCAGTCGCTGCCACAAGTCCACTGAACGCTAGAAATTGTAATAACAATTACAATAAATGAAAATCAAGAACATTATTCTGATAATTTTGTCTTTTTTACGTTGTTTTTTTAGTTTTTTTGTCGCCGACCGACCGAATTTGGTGGCTACGTGAAACACATATAAAAATGTATGCCCATACAGAGAAAGAGGACATTCTCTAACTATGAAATTGTTTGGCCCCGTTTATTTCCTATACACCATTCTTGACGCAATGTGGGGTATTAACATTATCCATGTTTGTATCGAAACCTGTATTTAATTATCAACAGATCCTAAGGATCTTATTGCGAACCTGGTCTGTGTGCACATGTCAGTACATGCCTAGGTTGTACAGTTACCCCTACGCTCTCTTGTGTATCTAACCCGTAGCTATCTGAGTTAGAATTAATCTTCAGCAACCATGCTTGTCGCTAGAGGCGAGTCACGGGATCGAGTGGTCAGGCTCGCTGGCTTGGTTGATTCACGTCATCGTATCTAAGTTGCATAGATCGATGCTCATGACGTCAATCACCTGGTCTGCTGCTGACTCGATTATTCACAGGCTGTCATATAATGGAACAGTACTTAGAGCGGCATTAAACAAGAAACTCCCCAGCACCCCAAAAAAAAAAACAAAAACAAAAAACAACAAAAAAAAAAAAACAAAAAAACAAAAAACAAAAAAACAAACCAAACCAAACTGCTGTCTTTCAGCCACATCTTTCTTTCTGCTACCATTCAGCCCCCAACAACAACAAAACAAAAACAAACAAACCCATAACCAACAAACAAACCAAACAAACAAAAGAAAAAACCCGAACCCCATACAACAACAAACAAAACAAAAAACAAACTGCTATCTTTCAGCCCCCAAACAAAACCCCCAAAAATCCAAACCAAAACATAAAAAACCAAAACCCCCAAAAAAAAAACAAAACAAAAGAAACAAAGCAAACTGCTATCTTTCAGCCCCAAAAAACCCCCAAAACCCAAACAAACAACAAAACAAAACAAACAAACACACACAAAAAAACCAAAGAAAAAAGAAAAAAGACAACAACAAAAAACAAAACATAAACAAAAACAAACAAAACAAACTGCTATCTTTCAGCCACATTGTTTAGTGACACTAAACAACACTAACGCATCATTGTCACATTCCTTCTGTGAGTTTCATGGTATGTACCCTTCCTGTTCTAGGGGGGCTGGCCATTGCGGTTCCGGGAGAAGTGAGGGGATACTGGGAGGCCCATCAGAGATTTGGCAAACTTCCTTGGAAGGACCTATTCGAGCCTACCATCAAACTGTGCAGAGAAGGAGTGGAAATCCAGAAATTCTTGTTCACGAAAGGACTTAAGGCACATGAAGACATTCTGCGGAAACGGTCATTTACGTATGTTTACAAATATCTTGTGCCATCTATGGCCTCAGTGCTCCATGATACAACCATGATATTTGATCATATTATCAGCCACTGGTTTGTCTGGCGTCATCAGGCCGCCGTGGTATACATCTGTCAAAATTTGATATTTGATAACACTTGCATAATTGAGATGACACGACTTTATGGATGATCAAGTTCTTTATTTTAACAATGGCGAAGTTGATCATCCATAAAGTCTTGTCATCTCTATATCACCAACTTCTAGAATGCCACTCAAACAAAACTTGCATAATTAACATTGCCGTAGGCTGGTGCCAAGATTTGCATTTAGAAAATGAAACGTGCAGTTTTCGTCATAGCAACATCACCACTGCTCAAGCTTTCTGATTGGTCAGTTGATGTTGTATAAACGCCAATAGAGTGACCTGCCTGTGCGGATAGCTTGACGTCATAACGTTTGATTTAAAATGAAAATAACGTCATAACGTTTGATTTCACGTCATAACATTGATGAAATTTGTTCCCATCACAGAATGTTCTTCGACCGGACTGGTGACGTGTTAGGGGAAGGGGACAAGATGACGTTTACAAGACTCGGAAAAACCTTGGAAACGATTGCTAACGAGGGTGCTGACGCCTTTTACAACGGGAGCCTGACTGACTCCATCGTCACCGAGATTCAGGACAACGGTGGGTGTCTTCGAGGGATTGTTACAGTTAGGTATCACATCCGTGGTGTAGTGGCTAGCGGGTCTGTCAGAGGAGGTCGGTCGTTGTTCAATGCCCTGGTTTCGTTAAATGGTCATGCTTCTTGTTTCTTTGACTGGCGCTCGGTCGTCTTGGAGTCGGCATAATGTATCTGAGTGGGGTATCAATATTAAACTACTGCAGGTTAGCATTATAAAACAGGCACAGCTTCAGAGTGAGTGAGTGAGTGGTTCAGTAAAGTCAAAATCAGTACCTGTTCTTATCATTCACAAATAACATAAAACAAAGTTATATGAGCCCAGTGTTAACAACATCATATATTCTCAGGAGGGATAATAACGGCAGCTGACTTAAATGGGTATGCGGCGAAATGGAAAACGCCCACGAACTTCACGATGAGAGACGGTACTACTGTGTACTCAATACCCCCACCGGGGAGCGGGGCAGTGTATGCCTACATGCTCAACATCCTGGACGGTAAGTACCACTCCTTCCGTAACACATCACCGATAGGGATTAGCACACCAGCAACCCGTAGTCAGACACAATTCAATTCAATTCTTTATTCTTTATTTTCATAAACCACCTTGGTGGTACAAGAGCATATATTGTTAACATATATACAAATACAAATTCAAATTCAAAATGGAAGTAAACAACATATTAACATTTTTTTCTGACAAGAGATGATAGATGTAGGGTATATTTTGATAGATTTACTATAAATGTTTTTACAGATAATATTTTCGTGAACTTTGTTTCATTGGGAAAAGAGGTTAGATGGGAGGGTAAATATTGTTTCCTCAAAGAATCTAATGCTTTGCAATGAAAAATATAGTGGTATTCATCTGCGATGCTTTAAGAAGTGCATAGTTGACACGTTCTCTGTTCCCTTGGAATATTATACCAGCGGCCCGTCTCAATAGGTAAACTATGGTTACATGTTCTAAATCTCAATAATGGTAAAGAAATGCGTTTTGGAAGGAGGAGATATACATCAAAATTGGGAAATGGCTTTAGGTGCTGATAGTGTATACCATTGGGACTAGAAATAATGTCATTGTGCCGGTTTTGGAAAAATTGATCTTTAAGAATATGTTCAACTTTTGAGACCAGCCACTGGGTAGTACAAATTGAGGGATTTTCAAAAACATACGAGAATCAAGTATTGTCTAATATATTTTTAACGTGCGAGGGCCAGGGATTATCTTTTTTATCTATTGATCTTTGAAATGAGAAAAACTTGTAAATTAAGTTTGTAAGCTTAAAAGCACCTTCTTGGTAAGTTAACTTGTGCCAAAAGTTTAATAAACGTTTATATATCATAATTCTATTTGGGAATCTTCCTAGTTCCCCATACAGCATGAAACGAGGGGTTGAATTTCTTAATCCGGTAATGAGTCTTAAGAAGTTTAAATGAAATTTAACACGATGTCTTTGTTGAGAGTGTTAGAATGTATTCAACGTTCTCCAGAATATCAATAAGCTCAAGAATAAGTCCAGTAGTAGCCTATTCTTGAGTGTGAAACAAAGAAACATACGAAGGGTACAAAAGTGCATTCTTAACATTTTCTGTTGCAAAACATCTTATCCAGTAACTGCTTGCTGTAACATATGTTATAACATATGAGTTTGGCTAATATGTTAACACAATAGAAACGCATTTGGTATTCAAATTGGAAAAGGTAGCCACGAAACGTCATTACAAATAAAGTACCATCTCCCCATAATGGATTTCTATCCATATAGACTACTTTTATCACAAACAGTATAACATCTATCCACAAAGGATTCCTATCCACAGAGGGTACGTTTCATCACAAACAATATAACAATGTTTTAATCAACCGCTGGACTGAACGCGAGAAATTGCAATAAGAATTACAATAAATGACATCACAAACAATATACCAATTGACCACAAATAGTTACTATCTATAAGGGGTACATTTGATTACAAACAATATAACATATATATACGTTTGATTATTTGTATAACAACGGGTTTATAATTGTTTTGATATTTTAAACTTTTAACCTTATTTGCATTGCGTAAACATGCAACCAAGCGTCATGGCCCCAGCCTTGTTTTTGTGTGCATTAAACGAAGATATGACTTGAGTATCCTCAGTGGGAAGAGAATGGTGATTCACTGGTCCCGAAAATGTAACAGTGTACTACACTATATCAGTGATATTTGTTTTACATTGCGACCTTGTTGTCCCCAGGCTACAACTTTACGGCAGACAGTGTATCTAGCGATGACAAGACCACTCTGACGTACCACAGGCTGGTGGAGGCCATGAAGTTTGCATATGCCAAGAGAACCGAGCTCGGGGACGAGGACTTCGAAGACGTAGCTGACGTAAGTATTATGGCGTCGTCCTTCAGACAAATGTTTTAGTCGGTGATACTGTTACATGGCAGCTGTAATCGCTGACTTCTATTGGGTATCGACACCACTACCATGCTTACGAGCTTCACCGAAAATGTAAAACTGGGTACTCTCAAGAATTACCCCATCCTACTAACACACACGCTCACTCACTCACCGACCCATTCACTCACTCACTCGCTGACCCTAAAACCCACTCATTCACCGACCCATTCACTCACTCACCAACCGACTCATTCACTCACTCACTCACCGACTCATTCACTCACCACTCACCGACCCATTCACTCACTCACTCACTGACTCATTCACTCACTCACTCGCTGACCCTAAAACCCACTCGTTCACCCAAACACAGACTCATATCTCATAGCCACATACTGTAGTGTCAAAGGCTGTAGTGTCGCCTAGTGAAGTTACCTTTTTAGTGTCACTTAGTGTAGTGCCACCTAGTGTTGTGTTACATGCTTTAGAGTCACACAGCATACAGTCAAATACTATAGTATCACATTGATGCATTGATGCATTGTTATCACGTGGTATATGTCATGACGTGTAGTGTCACCTACATACTGTAGTGCCACAGATCTACGTGTCAGATACTCTAGTGTCACCTACTGCAGTGTCACATACTGTAGTGCCACAGATCGAAGTGACAGATACTCTAGTGTCACATGCTGTAGTGTCACAGGTCGTGGTGTCAGATACTCTAGTGTCACATGCTGTAGTGTCACAGGTCGTGGTGTCAGATACTCTAGTGTCACATGCTGTAGTGTCACAGGTCGTGGTGTCAGATACTCTAGTGTCACATGCTGTAGTATCACAGGTCGTGGGTCAGTGTCACATGCTAGTGTGTCAGATACTTTAGTGTCATGCTGTAGTGTCATCACGGGTCGTAGTGTCAGATACTTTAGTGTCACATGCTGTAGTGTCACAGGTCAGGTCGTGGTGTCAGATACTTAGTGTCACATGCTGTAGTGTCACAGGTCATAGTGTCAGATACGGGTCATAGTGTCTTTAGTGTCACATGCTGTAGTGTCACAGGTCGTGGTGTCAGATACTCTAGTGTCACATGCTGTAGTATCACGGGTCATAGTGTCAGATACTTTAGTGTCACATGCTGTAGTATCACGGGTCATAGTGTCAGATACTTTAGTGTCACATGCTGTAGTGTCACAGGTCGTGGTGTCAGATACTTTAGTGTCACATGCTGTAGTATCACGGGTCATAGTGTCAGATACTTTAGTGTCACATGCTGTAGTGTCACAGGTCATGGTGTCAGATACTTTAGTGTCACATGCTGTAGTGTCACAGGTCGTGGTGTCAGATACTTTCTAGTGTCACATGCTGTAGTGTCACGGGTCATAGTGTCAGATACTTTAGTGTCACATGCTGTAGTGTCACAGGTCATAGTGTCAGATACTCTAGTGTCACATGCTGTAGTGTCACAGGTCGTGGTGTCAGATACTCTAGTGTCACATGCTGTAGTATCACGGGTCATAGTGTCAGATACTTTAGTGTCACATGCTGTAGTGTCACGGGTCATAGTGTCAGATACTTTAGTGTCACATGCTGTAGTGTCACAGGTCGTGGTGTCAGATACTCTAGTGTCACATGCTGTAGTATCACGGGTCATAGTGTCAGATACTTTAGTGTCACATGCTGTAGTATCACAGGTCGTGGTGTCAGATACTCTAGTGTCACATGCTGTAGTATCACGGGTCATAGTGTCAGATACTTTAGTGTCACATGCTGTAGTATCACAGGTCGTGGTGTCAGATACTTTAGTGTCACATGCTGTGGTGTCACAGGTCGTAGTGTAAGACCTCTAGTGTCACATGCTGTAGTGTCTCAGGTCGTGGTGTCAGATACTCTAGTGTCACATAGTGTTGCATGCCATGGAGTCGTGTCACCTACTGGTTTCACATGCTGTAGTGCCACATCAATCCTTTGTTTTAGTTGGTGAAGAACATGACGTCCCGGGAATTCGGAGATTCCATCCGGGCCATGATATCGGACAACATGACACACGACACCCAGTACTACGGTCCTACATACTACACCCGGCCAGACCGCGGAACATCGCAGATATCTGTTGTTGATGCTCTGGGTAATGCCGTGGCTCTGACTTCGACCATCAATTTCGCGTAAGAACAATTTACAGTGTCTTTCATCACTGTTTGAGTTCTCTGAAGACTGGGTGAGTTTAGTTTTACGCCGCACTCAGCAAATATTCCAGCTATATGGCGACGGTTTGTAAATAGTTGAGTCTGGAACAGACAATACAGTGAACAACATTATAAGCATCGCCCTACGCAATTTTCTGAGTGAGTGAGTGAGTTAATATCTAACGCCACATCCGCAATATTTCAGCCATATCATGACGAAAACAATTTATGCAATACAAAAATGAAAACATTGTGAAGAGTAAAACCTGTCGACGATGGACAGTAAAATACTAGAGTATCACAGATATGAACATAAAACTAACATGTAAAACTAAAACAGTGTAATTAAAGCAGACAATACAATATAAAACACGGGCTGTAGATCGCCAGCATCTGAAGGTAGATCACTGTTAATTTTCGGAGGACTGACGTCCATAGAGAATATTTATTGTGTTGTAATATTCCGATTGTATGGTTTGTTGATTACACATCAGGATTGGAACTGATTTTCAGCAACCCTTGCTTGTAATAAGTGGCCAGTAACGGGATCGGGTGGTCAGACGCGGCGAATTGGTTAATGTATGTATTGGTCATCGTATCCAGTATCATCCTGCACTTAATAAATGATACATTGATAAATAGCCCTGGTGAAGTATCTCTCTCTCTCTCTCTCTCTGCCCCCATCATAAGCGTGAGGTTGATGAATCTCCATAATATCGTGAAGATTCCAGGCGTTCGGGTCACAAACACTAACAAAGACAAAGTGAACGTGTTCTGTTCATCTTGGCACAAACACATGTGAAGGCAAGGTAATCGTGTATAGCTCCATCGGTGGCTCGCGACCTACATATGCAAAGGCATGCAGTGGCGAGTACTTCAGGTATATGACGGCGGTCTGTGAAGCATCCAAGACAAGACCAGGCAATCCCGTGATTGGTGTTGTCTTGTACGGTCCACTCCTTCGGGATACTTTGACACGCAGTTAACCGAATTATCAAGTCTGACGGCCCCGTTAGTCAACAAGTGTCGTATGCTGCCTACCTGTTCTAATTCGCAATTTCCCCTGCAGAATATCAAAATGCCATAATGTAATATGTGGAAGCCGCGCTTGCTGAGGGGGTGAGACTGCTGACCCTGTGTGCTGGCGATAAGGTTCCAGACTTTGAGGTTGTGGGTTCGAATCCCGAATGGGACTCAACCCAGCAGAAGTACTAGAATCTGTACTTTGCTGAGAAAATGTTATCCCAAATATAACACGTGTTACTATTTCTCTCCAGGTTTGGGTCTAAGGTGCTCGGCAACAGCACCGGGATCATCTTCAATAATGAAATGGACGACTTTTCGACACCCGGTGCTGTTAACGGGCTCGGCGTGCCAGCATCCCCTGCCAACTTCATCAAACCAAACAAGCGCCCCCAGTCGTCCATGACCCCGTCTGTCGTGGTAGACGACTCTGGAGACGTCATCCTGGTTATAGGGGCTTCAGGGGGAACGAGGATCACGACAGCTGTAACTCAGGTAAGTTGGACCATGCTTCATTCACTCAGAACATGCAGTGTCCTAACCTTTGTAAACGCCTGACGACTAGACTCTTTTCCAGCGATTCTTTCACAGACCGTTCTTCATTATTTTGCCTTTTACGCTTTGTGGAGTATTTCTCGGACGTTCGGTATTAGCTCTTCGGTTCACATATTCTGTCTGGTGTCCTTGAAAAAGGCATTTAGAAGCTGGAAGAAAACGAATACATGACAGTTAAACTAAACAATGCACGGATACCAGCTGAAAGTCGGTGACCACGTATTACTCACCTCTAACAGTATTGGGGCGGCGGGATAGCCTAGTGGTTAAAGCATTCGCTCGTCACGCCGAAGACCCACATTGGTATAATGAGTGAAGCCCATTTCTGGTGTCCCCCGCCGTGATATTGCTGGAATACTGCTATAAGCGGCGTAAAACCATACTCACTCACTCACTCTATCAGTATCAATAGAATACATCCTTCAAGACTGACATAATTTATGCAAACTGCACTGGCTTTATTTATTGTCTCATTTGTTTGCTGCATAACGTTGCACTCAGCAATATTCTAGCTATAGGTCGGCGTTATGTAAACAATTGAGTCTGGACCACACAATCCAGTGATCAACACCATGAGCATCGATCTAATCAACTGGTATACGATATCATATCAACTGAGTGAGTGTCCTGACCACCCGATCCCGTTAGTCGACTCTTATGGGAAGCATGTGTTGCTGAAGACCATTTCGAACCCGGATTTCACGGTCAGTAATAATAATAGGATGATAATGATGAAGATGATGATGACATGACTGTTTGGTCCAGGCTCGAATATTTACAGACCGCCGCCACATTGCTGGAATTTGCTGAGTGTCGAGTTAATCAACTACCAAAGTTCAGCAGCGTTAAACACAGCTCCCTCCCTCACGCCTTTGTTGTGTAACTAATACAGGTAACACTCCAGACGCTCAAGTTTGGAAGAAGTGCCGCCAAATCTGTAGACTACATGCGTGTCCATCACCAGCTGCTGCCCGACAACCTGCGGATTGAGGACGGCTTTCCCCAGGTACGTCTTTTTTGTAGATAGTAGACTGAGTGAGTGAGTGGGTTAAAATTTAAAGTCACTTTGGCAATATTTCAGCCATATCGTGACTAAAACAACATATATATTAACAATAATTAAATTCAAATGTAGATTATAAAATCCTGTCAACGAAGGACAGTAAAACAACTAGAATATCACAGATATAAATGTAAAACTAGTAATTAAATCTAAAACATTTCAACTATAGAGAACAACACAATATAAACAGGCTATAGATCACCAGCAACTGAAGGTAGTTCACCATACTAGGGACCATATGGGGACTTACAGTACCTTTGCTACCTGCATGGACCCTAGTTGGATTTACACCTTCCCTTTAGCAGCTGGCGATTGTAGGAAAATTTAGCCGGAAGTTAAAAGAACAAAAATACTACGTTTAAAATGTGGTAAATTTACATTTTACTTTGAAAGTTTTGGGACTTACGTACCCTCTCAGGAGGACAATAATTTTACAGTACTTTAACCCCCTTTGAGGGTACAGCCACTAACAGTTACTCATCTAAACTACCAATAATAAAATACATATCTATTTACAAAGTATTCATCAAAATTTATCTAGCAATTCTATTTCTTAAAAATACAATGATTAAATGATAATTAATACTAAAAAGATCCTTCACTGTTTTGACATTAAAATATTTATCCCTTGTGATGGCAAAATCAATACAGTCAAGCAAGACATGCTTGACTGTGATTCTTTCATCACAAGGGATACAAAACGGAGGACCCTCGCCTTTTAACAGGTATTCATGAGTATACCTTGTATGGCCAATGCGACATCGTCGCATGATGACCTCTTCAAATCTGGACTGACAACCCAAGTAGGTGTAACCAATATAGCGTTTTATTTCATGTAATTTATTAATACCTACTTGGGTGTCCCACTTCTTTTGCATCATATCACGGATGTAAGTTCTAATGCTAGCTTTGCAAGCAGAGAATGGAATAAGAAGTGGTGTCACAGATTTGTTGAGCGCTGCCTGGGCAGCAAGATCGGCCATTGTGTTCCCAGAAATACCAACGTGGCTGGGTAACCAACAAAAGACGATGTCGCATTGGCCAGTAGCAAGCTCATAATATAATTCAATAATTTCTATTAAAAGTGGATGTTTACAAGAAATATTTTTAATAGCCTGAAGACACGAAAGAGAATCGGAAAAGATTATGTATTGTTTATATTTACGGTGGTTATTATATTTAAGAGCTGTTAGTATTGCGTTTGCTTCTGCTGTGAAAATTGAACTGTCATTGGGTAATCTGGAATATATTGTTTTGGACCCAATGACAGTGGCACAAGCTACTGCGCCGACATCCTTGGACCCATCTGTAAATAAGGATGTATGTAGATAGTAGACTAAGGACAGTGCGGTTTCTCAGGAAGGTGTCTTACTGCAGACATTCGGCTGAGATAGTGCCTTGTCTGAAACACATTGCTGGATGCAGTTTGTTGCGTATAGCCCGTGTCTCGCCAGGCAAGTGCCCTATTCCGAATAGTCGGCTGTGAATAGCGACTCGTCTCAGACACATTATCAGATGCATCTGGACGCGTAAAGCTTGTGTTTCCCTCGGCAGGTCGCTTATTCTGGATAGTTGGCTGTGGATAGTGTCTAGTCTTAAAATCATTGCTGAATGCAGTTGGAGGGGAAAGGGTCATTTTTCACAAGTAGATATATTATTGCGGTAATCGGTTGCGGATAGTGACTTCTCTCAGGTAGGTCACTTATTCTGGATAGTGAGCGATGGGTTTGTGTTATGTCTATTATGATTGTTGAATGCAGATGGAGACGAAGGGCTCGTATTTCCCCAGGTAGATGTCTTATAAGAGATAGTCGATTGCGGATAGAGACTCGTCTCGGACACATTGTCCGAAGCACCTGAAGGCGTATAACCTTTAACAGCGATTCTCAGTATTACAGCTAACTATGTTGATATATGCTGTTAGATTGCGTTTTGAATGGAACTGTGATATGCTGGTGCCAGACAAATGTATTTAGAATTAAGGATCACCGAGCATTACCCTGCATCCAAACAACATTAAAATTAAAGATAAATTATTACACAAACCATTAATGGTAACCAGACTCTCACTTTGTACTCTGAAGTTATCACTTTTCTAACAGCATCAGAAGTCACCTTCTACTCACAGCAGCAGATTAACTCTTTGTTTTGACTACTAATAAGTTGTCCTACACTGGTCCCCACGTTCACACCTTCTTAACGAGTTGTCCCGAGTGGCCCCTGAATTTGGTTGTCACGTAATAGACAGAAAATACACCCAAAATCATCTATATCAAAACACAGCTTAATATCTTCGTAATATGGTGGATCTACACACATGAACACTTATTAAGCGCAACATGAATCCATGGGCAGTTTTTAAAGCTTGGCCCCCCAAAACAGCGATCATACAGTAGTATTCTGCAATGCACATGTAAAGCACGTGCTTCACAATATCTCAAGGTAGAATCATCTTCTAGCTGTCCCAATATGGACTTCCAACAACGGGCATCCCAGACTACTCGCTTTGCGTACCCCTCTGAACAGCTGCGGTGGACAGTTGTAATATTTGTACTAGCTAAGTAAATATAATCGTTAGATTATCATGAAAAACATAAAAGTGAGTGAGTGAGTGAGTTAATATTTAACGTCACATCGGCAATATTGCAGCCATATCGTGACGAAAGCAAGCCATACAATAAAAAGTAGAAACATTTTGAAAATTAAAACCTGTCGACGATGGACAGTAAAAAGACTAGAGAATCACAGTTATAAATATAAAACTAGCGCAAAGTTAAAATATTTCAATTAAAGAAGACAATACAATATAAAATACGGGCTATAGATCACCAAAAACATAAAAGACTGTAGGTGTTCAAAGGTATGTTTTGTAATATTGTCACAAAAAGCTATATTCGGCATGTTCCGGATTCAGGACAGTTTCTTCTTCAAGTTCACATTTTGTTTTCAAGTACAAGTTTGTATTTAGCCCCATCAGGTAATCGAACTCTCGCTCTCAGACTGAGGTACCAGTCCACAAAGTCAGCTGCCTGACCCACTCAGCCACCGAGACTTCCACTGCTCGCGATTTGGTGCCTCACTCTGAGAGTGTAGGTTCGAATCGTGGACTGGGCTCAACCAAAATCTGTTTCAGAATTTGAACTTAACAATAAACGTGTAATCCAAAATGTAACATTTCGTACCTTTCACCACTCGTATATGCCTCTAATAAAATCGGTGTGCTGTTTGTGCTTCCAGGAGATCAGAGCGGGGCTCATGTCGAAAGGTCACAACATCACAGAGTATGGAAATCCGGTGTCAAATGTTGTCCTTGTAAGAGTAACCAACAATACAAAGTACGGCGTCTCTGATTGGAGGAAAAGTGGAACACCAGATGGATATTAACCAATCACAGATGCTATCATAGTAAGAGCAAGGAATATTGCTTAGTACCACATCTGTGATTGGAGAAAAAGTGGAAAGCAAAATAGATGTTAACCAATCACAGATGTTTTCTTTGTAAGAGTAAACAACAATACGAAGTACGGCGTCACTGATTTGAGGAGAAGTTAAACGCCAGATGGATATTAACCAATCAGATGTTATCATAGAATTTACATGTATCGACAGATCATTATAAAAGACACACAAATATCTTTAAAAAGCCTCATCATTATCATTTTCATCTTTGCACACATATCTCGAGCATAACCGCGCTTTGGGAGTAAGGATGGCAGTGTTGTTAATGTGCACGACTTCGGACCAAAAGTTGTTGGGTTCGAATCCCGAGTCATAATTTTCAGTTTCAAAAGTACTTCCAAGTACTGCCCCTTCCCCAGTCCACCCAAAGACTCGGAAAAATATTTGGAAGCTTAAAACTTAAAAGAAGAAAAATCTCTTAAACACTCACCAACCCTCCCTTCCGAGAAATCATGATTGAGCCATTTTGTTGTGACAGTTTGGTCCCCGTTCCTCTATTTCCCTAATGGATATAACGTCTATACCTACAGGTTGATAGTAAATAGCAGTAGTCAAAGCCAAGTAGTTGGGTCGGTTTGTGATTAGGATATTTAATCAGCATTATCTGGGACGTTACACATGTCATATGTGGACTTACACTTTGCCCTTAAAGTATGGATTCTGGCGATAAGGTGCCTGACTCTCAGAGTGTGGGTTCGAATCCCGGAGGGGACTCCACAAACGTACTGGAATCTGTACTTTACTGAGCAAGTGTAATCCCAAATATAACATGTGTTACATTTGATCACTTAATGTCATTGTATATTCGTATCTCGTACCCTATACTATTTTTCACAATACTCATATTTTATATATTGTTTTATATAAACGGACGATACACGGGCCAGCATTTTAATACGTTCAACGTACGTCCTGCGCACCTCATAGGGGACAAATGAGGTAATAGTCGTATGACGCCAAATGTTAAAATGTGAGTGAGGGAGTGAGTTAAAATTTTAAGTCACATCGGCAGTATTTCAGCCATATCGTCACTAAAACAACTTATAATTGCACAAAACATAACGTAAATTATATAAGTCTGTCGGCGAAGTACAGTAAATACAACTAAATATCACTGATATAAATATGGAACAAGAATGTCAATCTAAAATATTTCAATTACAGAAAACAATACAACATAAAAGGGGCTCTATATTGCCAATAACTGAAGGTAGTTCACCATACAAGGGACCATGGGAACTTACAGTACATTTGCTTCCTGCATGGGCCCCAGCTGGATTTACACCACCCCTTCAGCTATTAGCAATTTTAGGTTAAAAAGTGAATGAGTGAGTGGGTTGGTGGGTTTCTGAGTGAGTGAGTGAGTGAGTATAAACTAGTATGGAACCAACAATAGTTCTAATCACAACAATGCTTAATACCCACGGGTCACCACTCTCCAAAGCTTCACACTCAGGACCATTTTCAATGAACCCCAGGTTAAACAATCCTTCTCGCTGCTGGCGATGATCAGGAATCTTACCATAAGCGTAACACAGTACCTATACGATCAACAAAGATTAGGAATCAACATATATTAAACAATGTGGTCACATTTATACCTTCTTTAGGGAACAATCAGTTTTCGCTACTTCAAAACCCTTTGAGGTTACGGCTGCTGCCAATCACAGTTACAAACCATATACTTCTTATATTGAGTGAGTGAGTATGGTTTTACACAGATTTTAGCAATGTTCCAGCAATATCACGGCAGGGGCATGAGAACAGGTTCACCCTTTGTACCCATGTTGGGAATCGAACCTTTGTTTTTGGCCTGACAAGCAAACGCTTTTACCACTAGGTTACCCATCGCCCTCTTATATTGTACTGACTGACTGACTGAGTTTGGTTTTACGCCGCTTTTAGCAATATTCCAGCAACATCACGGCGGGGGACACCAGAAATGGGCTTCACACATTGTACCCATGTGGGGAATCGAACCCGGGTCTGTGGCGTGACGAGTCAACGCTTTAACCACTAGGCTACCCCACCGCCCCTCTTATATTGTAAAAGTTAACTATATAATATATAACTTTACCCATATTCAAAATTATCCTTCAGTTCATTTCACTTACAAAGCACATTAGTAAAGGAGATGAGACATTATGTTAAAAAGATCCATCGGTGTTCCCTTGTGATGTTTTACTATTATTATTCAGCACATGTGGTACAATGAATAACATCTTCCCTTTTCAAGACACATTCATGAGTAATCTAGTATGGCTAATACTACATCGTCGTGAAATGATCTCTTCAAATATTGAACTACAACCCAAGTGGGTGTCTCATTTATTAACCCTACAATTGCATATTCCTCATATGCGAGGCCAGATTGCTACACACCCGTCTACGGACAACTAGGAGCTTTGGCAGTCCGGTTGAATTATTCATTGCAAACATAAACGTTTCTCCCGCATCTGCTTCAGATTGAAACACATGGTCCACCTCAAGAATCAACGGTTTCACATCCGCTGAGTAGCGCACCTCGTCAGTCAATAGCACATGAACTTTGTGCTGTTCCTCGAACATTATGCCACTCCGTTAAATATGTAAACGGAGTAGTTCCTTAAAGAACAGTTTCCAGTGATGACATAAAACTATTAAACAGCAGATGCCGTAACTGATTGAGAACTTGATCACTAACACCTTTGATTAACCTTATTAGATTGCAATCACACCAATTATTAAGCATCATTCACGTAAGTATTTCCAAAGATGAGAAACAGAACGATTTTCACGCATTTATTACAATACAATGATAAACATCTATCAACCTCAACTGAATTTGAATACACTCTATTGTCTCTAGAGTAAATGCAAAGATTGCCTCATTACACCTGATTAACTTAAAGTGAGTGAGTGAGTGAGTTTAGTTTTACGCCGCTTTTAGCAATATTCCAGCAATATCACGGCGAGGGACACCAGAAATGGGCTTCACACATTGTGCCCACGTGGGGAATCGAACCCGGGTCTTCGGCTTGACGAGCAAACGCACTAACCACTAGGCTACCCCACCGCCCCTATTAACTGAAAGGATGAACTGTCCCTGTCTTGCACAGTTTCCCTGTGTGGTACTTGTAATCATTGATGTGTTGGAATGACTGCGCACAAAACTGATGAGTGGATTCAAACTTTTCATTTTATTGGGTGAGTGAGTTTATTTTACGCTGCAGTAGCAATATTTCAGCAATATCACGAAGGGAAGGGCTCCACACATTATATCCATGTGGGGAATCAAACCCGTGTCTTCAGCGTGACGAGCGAACGCTTTATCCACTAGGCTATTTAAACGCCTTTGCTAGATGATAGTGAGTGAGTGAGTGAGTGAGTGAGTGAGTTAAGATCTTAAGTCACATCGGCAATATTTCAGCCACATCGTGACTACAAACAAGTTATAATTTTACAATAAATAAAGGCAAATTATAAAAGCCTGTCAGCAAAGGACAGTAAAACAACTAGTATATCACACATTTCACTAAAATACTTTAACTTTAGAGTACAACACAATATAAAAACAGGCTATGTATTGCCAACAACTGAAGTTAGATCACCATTCCAGGGACCATGGGCTAGATGAGAGCAGTGTAGGTTGTACTAACTATCACAGATCACGGATGTAACTTCTTACAAGAGGTTTGCAATCACTGCAAGGTATCAGGAGTCGTGTCCCAGATTTGTTGAGTGCTGCCTTAGCAGCAGAATCAGCCATTGTGTTAGTGGTGATTCCAACATGGCTGTGTCACCAACGAAAAAACGATGTCATATTGGCTACTTGTAACATACATAATAGATTTATATGGCGCCTGGTATCCAACTCAAACCTGTTCAACGGGGCATCACAAAGTGTACCCCGGATAACCCAAGCTGCCTGTGAGGCGCTAGAAGGTTAAAGTCACATGGCATATCCCACCCTGTACCCATTTTCAGCTAGATGAGCAGAATTCAAATGTGCTTCGTTGTGGGGCAGGACTAAAGTCCTGGAAACTCGGGTGTCAAGCTGCCAAACACTGTCAACCGACCTGTGCCAAATGTTGCCTAACTTCGACTGGTTTGTGACCTGAGCTCTATCCGCAGCATCACCCACCACGACGTTGTGTCATTCAAAAATTGTATGTGTATTTGTATTTGACCTATTTTTAATTGTCTGAAGGCATGATAGAGAATATTAAAACAGTATCCATTGTTTATATTTAGACTGGTTATTGATGTATTTAAGAGCAGTTAAAATGGCACAGCAACTGCGCCATCGTCCTTGGATCAATCTTTACATATTTTTGTGTAGGAATAATACGTATTTAACTGATTGTATTCTTGTGGGTATATTAGTTGGTTCTTTTTGTTTTGTTAAAGTAAGGTCTACCTCTGGCTTTACCATTTTATGTTTAATATGGGCAGCGGATATGGCAGATTTGACCCTTATTCATAAAGTGGCGGGCTAAGAGTTAATTTCGTACTGTAAATACCCTGGTAGAACGGATTAAATACTCACTCAGAGGCTGGATTTGACTTATTAGAATATAATTTGTGACATACTGTAAGGATGACTTGAGACGTTGTATTGGGGATGTATCACCCGCCTCCACGCACAAACTATGAATTGGACTGTTTTAAATGCTCCAAGGCAAAGCCACAGGTCCTAGTGATGGATGGTGCACTGTCTTTGTAAAGTAATTGTACATGCTTCACCATATATGATGGATCTGTAATCAAATTTTGGTTGCCTCAGCGGCCTCTATAAGTGCAGGAGCGTTCTGTGATAGCCTCCCCACTTTGAATATGACTGACTGACTGAGTTTGGTTTTACGCCGCTTTTAGCAATATTCCAGCAACATCACGGCGGGGGACAGCAGAAATAGGCTTCACACATTGTACCCATGTGGGGATTCGAACCCGGGTCTGTGGCGTGACGAGCCAACGCTTTAACGACTAGGCTACCCCACCGGCCCACTTTGAATTATAAATGACTTTAAACAAATCGAGTGCGTCCAGGCATTTAGCTGTGTGGTTGTCAACAAATATCCGTTATCAGTGATTGTAATGTTGGCTGGCCAGGTAAAGTCCATACAAGCAATACACATGGTGAAACAGTGGAAAGAATTGTTAGAATGATATGCTGTCATCTTGTGAGTGGAACCAGCTCTGATATATTGCTTTTAGTTTTTACTTACCAACTGCATATTTTCTGAAATCATCGTGGCAGAACTGAAATAAAAAACAAACCCAAATACAAATAAAGTGCGAAAAAAACATGTCAATATTCGAGTGTAGCCTCTCGTCAGATTTGTACATAATTGTGTCGTTAATTATCATAGCCAGTTTTGTCCTTTCTGTCACGATACGTATACCCTGACTACAGCATTGCATCATTCCAAGTCTTCACACTTCAAAAATAATCCTCTGTTCTTGTATTATTTAGTTGAGAAGAGGTCGTATTATAATGGTCTTCACACGTCTTCACACTTCAAAACATCTCAATTGTTCTTGTATTATTTAGTTGAGAAGAGGTCGTATTATAAT